CACTTAATATTCTAGCAGTAGCCTGCCTCTGTCAGATCCTCAAAAGGACACCTTGTTATTGCTAATAATGAATATTGAAATCTATTAGAATAACTTGTGGTCGGCTAGATGTAACCCTTCGACGTTCATTATTGCCTAGTCTATGTGCCTTTAATGATGCTATAAGTTATGAAATCGGTTAGAGTCATGTGACAGACCAATGAGATTAATTAGATTAAGTAGAGTACGATTGACTTCGTGCCTTGAATGTTGCACTCGCTTGAAATTAAGCAGCTCCCTTCTGGAACTGTGTTCATAAAACTAATTATCAGTCTATATGATCATGGTGTTTTGTATGTTCGATTTAAAGCAGCTCCTTTATGTAACTGAGTTCATTGAAGTAATTATCATTCTATGATCTCGGTTTCTTGTATGTTCACACTCTTATAGACTCCTGTACGCGCAGGTTTCGACGCCGAAATATAAGGAAACAAGGATCAAGTCTCGCGCTTCATTCTTCATTCTAAATTAAGCGTCACCAAGCTCCCGAACTAAGTTGACTTACTTTAGGAGCGGAATATATCTGGTATAGTATGCTTATATGAATTGTGTATAGTGTAGGTTAGTACGCAACGCGTATAGTTCGGTGTATTTAAGATTGATATTAACTAGAAAATTCTCGTCTTGAACCAGCGATATATACGACGCCGTTCAGTTTTATGAACTTTGCCACGAACGTTTCACAGACGCAAAACTCAGTTCAACTAGCGAACATTTATTTATACAGTTCTCAAATTTCGTTTGACAATGCGATGTTTGCCATTGTTGACTTTAATCCGTTGATAAACTATTTAATTATTAAACGAAATTTCATTGAAGTCCAACATACTAAAATTATATTTTTATCGTCTTTTTATCCAGTTAAAATTTGTATGGTGTTGTCATCAGTGAGCCAAACGTAGAAGATCCGCTTCTAATTGATAAGAAGTTTCTGTATTTTTCTCCGCAAAACCGTGTTAGCGCAAAATCGTATGTCAACACGAAACCGTGTTTCGGAATCGCCTTTGAAGTTATTTATGCAAATTAGTGTGAAAACGCTTGTGCTTAATTAGTATATTAAACATAATTTGTAAGTTAACTTAATATTTTAATCCCACAGCTAGTCTTTTTCAGCCTGACCTGTCCCTTATTGTGGAATTAAAAGAATTAGTGGAAATTTCCCGGCTTGTTGATCCGAATCAGGCTTTACTTGTGTGGTGTAGACTCACCAGGAAGATAGATTTCCTGGTAATAATTAAGATGAATATTGAATAATTGGAAAAATTTTTAGCCCAGACTTAATGTAAATCATGTTTGCAAAAGATGTATATAATTTCAGCTGATCTTGTTGAAAATTAAATCTGGATTAATTCCATTCATTTAAGAAAATGTTTTCCTCATTTTATTAGTGGATTTACAAGTGAATATCTCTATAAAAGTCTCCATACTGTTGTTAGTAAAGATACTACAACCTAAGTTCGTCGATAACATCTAATATATCAAGGGAGAGAAGTTATTGGTAAAAAAAGATATAGATTATTTTGGCCGTCGTTATGGTTTTTCCAGGTTAGGAAACGGTTATGTATTATTTTAGGTTCATTGAAAGAGCATGGAGGTAGAGCGATCAACTAGCGTGCTTCTTTCATCCGTTAAATATTTTTGAAAATTTAGATGTTCCAGGTTAAGTAGTGATATGCTTTAGCCTTTAATAAGTACTAATAAGTAATAATTGACGTCTCATCGCTATCAAATGCATTGAGAATATAGTTATCGACGAGAGATACGAATTAAATTTAAATTATTTCAAGTGCCATTGTCTTAGTCTTATTTATTTTAATTATTAACTGAACGTAAAGATTGTACAAAAAGTTGAGAATGCATTTCTTTAAAAAGAAAATTTTTAAACCTCTTTCAGGCTGACCGAAGGAAAATTACCTGCAGCAATGAAAAGTAAGCCTCACATTCGGTAAAATTGTTAAATTATAGAGGAAACAATCTTCAGCTTAGAACTAATAGTTTCGCGTTTCATGAAGCATTGTTCATGAACGCCCCACTTCAGAGCACGCGGTGTCTGGCGGCTGTCTCAGTTGTAGAGCTAAGTTGTAGGAGGATTATTTGAATTTCCCTTCTCTGTCTCTCTAATCTAGGCGGCTGACGAGACAGAGACGAGAAAAACATTGCCTTCTCTGTCTCTCTCGTCTCGGCGGCTGACGAGACAGAGACGAGAAAACATTGCCTTCTCTGTCTCTCTCGTCTCGGCGGCTGACGAGACAGAGACGAGAAAACATTGCCTTCTCTGTCTCTCTCGTCTAGGCGGCTGACGAGACAGAGACGAGAAAAACATTGGTTTCTCTGTCTCTCTCGTCTAGGCGGCTGACGAGACAGAGACGAGAAAACATTGCCTTCTCTGTCTCTCTCGTCTCGGCGGATGACGAGACAGAGGCGAGAAAAACATTGCATTCAACAGTCTCTCTCGTCTCGGCGGCTGACGAGACAGAGACGATAAAAACATTGTCTTCTCTGCCCCTCTCGTCTAGGCGGCTTACGTCTCGTGTAAGCAACCTCTCCACGAGTGCCTACGTTGTTATTGTTATTCACCTGCTTCTCCTTATTACATCGGCTCCTCAAGATACGTCACACAGTTTTTTTTCGTGATCTTCGGATGGATGGCCATTTTAGATTTCCAGTACCTCGTAGGCGATAAGAGTTTCATAACAGAAATATTCGACAATCTTGAATTCCATCTTGAGGGCGACATCGATTTTAGAATTTCCGGAGCGAGATTATTTTATAGCCGAGACCTTAGGAAAGTCCCTGGCCGTTGGACTACTACTTCGACTTGAAATCAGGGAAAGGCTACTTTTAGGTCATACTGCTGTACATTTTTTTCGCTGTTAATTGTATTAAGTATGCTATATTTCGTTGGAATATTCATGAATACATTTAAATAAAGTATGCAATGCAACTATAGTGTATCCAGCATCATCATTATCTTCTCATTACATGGAATCAAGGAATTATTATTCCTAATTTAATCTCTTGTACTTGTACTTTCGCTCAGTGCACGGAAGTATTGAAATATGTTTTAGGGAACGCCGGAAGGATCTAACCAATTGGACAAGCCTTCGATGGGCGCAGGGGCTGCGATTCATTGTGTATTTGGCCGCATTATTTTTGGCATGTGTGAAATGTATTGCCAAAAATGAGCGTGGCATGAAGATTGTGATTTTTCATTGGATGATAATAATCGAGAACAGGTGATGCGATTTTGTTGTGTTGAAACGGAGCCCCAACACGTGCATTTGTTCATGTCTGTTTTTCGACAGAATATTCAACATAAATATTTTATATTGATTTACACACTCGTTTTGCTATTATTTTCTCTACGTGGACAGTTAACATAGATTTTTGCTGAGGCCTCCTCATGATAAAGTATTCACAGATCTTACGAGTTGGTATCGGTGAATAGTTTGAGTCGAGAACTCATTATTTAGAAATAGAGAACGAACTTGTTATTTCCGGATTCGTGGTTCGTCTTAAATTATGGTTTATCTACTCTGGGAAAGTGCTATTATTTGTTAATACTTTATACTCGAACTTTTTTATTTTCAAAAAGACTTGCGAATCTACGACTGAAATGACGAACCAACCGTAATTTGAACCATAAAGTTTTTACTCAGTTTCTTATGAGAAAATCGAAGAGCACCGAAGACTTAATCTGTTACAGATAACAATTAAAGATATAACTCAACTTTGTTGGGGATTAATAACATGAAAAACATTATGAAAATTAGTTGCGTTTTTCTTACCTTCAACAATACATCAAACGATTTATAAATATTATGAAAAGCCGTTAGGGCTATAACCGAATATTTCGAAGTCTGCAAAGTATGTCATGTACAGGCTGCTGATTAAGTGTGGTTCGACGTCCTGAAAAACAGAAAATCTATTTTTAAATTGAGATTTAGCATAATTTGAGCCCAGTAACGCTCATATCAATCGATTCTTACTCCGTTAAATTTAGGTATAAAATTTAATTCGCATTCATATTCAATATGAAGATTAAGCCTAATAAGTAAGATGGCTTATATGAAAACGAAATCAAGTTAAATCATTGAATGAGATTGGATGAAAATGTTCTTCCGCGTGGAACTTTGATTTAAAACACTTGGACTGAAATATATACAATAAGTTTTAGAATTTCAAGAATACTGTTTCATGTGATTAAAACAGTGGAATATCTTAGCTTAATCTTTTCAAAGAACTCATTGTCGCCAGAATTACTGGGCGTTATAATACGCTGTAGTCAGCAATTAAATCGGTGTAATCGAAACTAAAGAAACGACGATATGTCATTTTAAAACAAAGAGGGAAATAAACAAAGTGGTTGTTTATTTCCCTGTTTTCTGATATTTTTACAAATCGCTTAACAAGTGTAATGCAACTACACTAACGAAAACTTGCTCTATTGGAAATTGCCACGTACCTTGAAATATTCGAGTGCCACCTGGGTGGCATTAGAAGCATTAATGCGATCGTCTTCTCTAAAAGATGTGAAATTGAAGTTTTCTAGGACGAATCTGAAATAAATAAACGAAAATTATAGGGAGAGATTATACCGTTCAATCCGCACATGAGACACTTTAATGCCATGCCTAGGACGCGGACAGCATCGTGCAACGCCGCCAACTCGTTCATTATTTATTGAGAATCGAAATGTTAACAACTATTGGCTATCAGCTTGCCAAGATATTGACGTGGAACTAAAGGCTAAATTCCAGATAAAAGTTCGAAATTTAACTACGCCTTATTTCAGTTGTGCAAAGCTTGTAATTTTAAATAATATATATTACATATGCTCTTTATAATCAATATTACGAAACCGTTCGTCCAGAAAAATAAATAAAATTAGGATTTTGTTAATAAATGAAATAATTATTTTATTAAAAAATATTTCATTAATTAATCAAATTTGTATTTACCTAACATCATCCTGCCAAGATTCCATCTTGACAGTGAAGTCGTACTTAATATCACAAGGCGCGCAGTTTATGTAATACGGCAGCCAGTGACTGTCAATGTCGTCGATGAGCTGGCCACGAAAAGGTCCGCTTTCTGGGATTATGCGAATTAGAAACTCGACGAAGGCGCTAAAACTGCGCGGGACCGACTCTCGCGTGAAGCCGAATTCGTAGGCGTAGCAGTCACTGAAAAGTGGATTGTGTTGAAGCCAAAAATAACAGGAGACGTTGTAGAAATAGGATATTAAATTATTGAGGCCTAACAACGAGGTTCATTTCTCAGTAATACGAGTAGTACGAATCAGAACAGAAGATTTGAGTATGTTCGTTTTGCTAGAAGAACCTACGGGTGTGATGTAATCAAAAAAGGTAATCAATAAATCTTGGTAAAACCTGGAGTCGATTCACCTAAAAATCTAGGTGAAAGGTGGAGCCTTCCTATTGAAAAAATGAAATTTTACCTATCAATTCTAGTTGCGTCAGTCGTCAAGAAATTTGAAGGTAATTCAATGCATTGCTATAATAATTATTTGTTTGGTTATTTTTTATCTTCATTAAAATTTTGAGAAGAATGGCACTGCTTTAACGTTACTGTTTAAGCAAAGCCCAGGCTCTTTGTGCACAATAATAATTTCTGAAAACATGTGTAAGCTGTTTTTCAACTCTACATGCATAAATTTTTAAATGTTGCTTGATAAAATTTTTTATTAAGCTTAAAAACAACGTCAAAGTCTTAAACAAATCCAAAAAACAACCAATAATCAATATTTATATATATTATAATATAAAGCAGGCAGCCGATCACTTGAAGATGCGAGTATTTTAGACCGTAAATCTTGGAAAAATCTTATGAATGATGCCCAAGGAGTTTCTCTAATCTTTTACTCTGCTCACTCTTTGTCGACGCAGGACTCTATTTTGTCGCGGTATGCCGACACGAGTCGCACGAACGGGTGTCGGACGATTATAACGCTGCGGACGCTTTCTAGTAGTTCGGGGATCTCGAAGCTGGAAAAGTGCAGTAATTATGTACATAATCTGTATCTTAATGAATACCGTGTATAATAATAATAATCTTTTTTAAGTTGTTTGTGCTTTTTTCTGTTTGGCAGGGAGGCCTCAAAATCAAAGACAATTTGATGATGCGTTAAGAGTATCGGCACCAAATTAATTACATTTTTTCAATGCATTTAATATTAATCTTGTCCACAGTAGAAGCACCTGCTAATTGTTGGCGACAGGCCGAGGACGGTCTCGGCGATGTAGTGTGGGGAGCGGTAGGCTGTCAGCAAAGGTTCCCCGTCAAAATAATCCTGCAGCAACAAGTTCACCCACCACGTTGAACCCACCTGCAATTGGCAAGACACGTGTAGCATTAAATGAAGAGTGACACAGTGACACAGGGTTCGGGGAGCCCTCTCCCACGAAGAGTGAGCTTACAATGTGAAAACAGGAGTGATTGTTATGGTAAGGCGCAACCAAATAAATTGGGTTAACACAGATCTTACTCACTACGTGCAGCTACTATACTTGAACTGGAAGAAGATATCAGCCAGAAAAATATGTCCATAAATAACATACAAATAATTTCAAGCAATTATCTCAATAGCGATAAAGAAGGTTGAATAGAATAATAATTGACCTGCAAATAAACGCGTCTGAAGGACAAATTTCCTTATCAATACTTCAGGTTTTTCTTAACAAGTATTTTATTTTTAATCATTATATGTCGGTTAAACGTCAAGTTTGTTCTCCTGCAGGGTGCGTCAGGAAAACTTGTGCAAGGGGTTAAAATAATTCTATTTTTGGCCGTCATCAAAGCCATGTATTGACGGTTCACGCGCGACGTTCTCTCGTCCGCCCGCATGATTGTGACTGTCAGAGGCGCGAGAACAAAATTTCAAAAATCCTAACCCAGCGTCCTCCCTCTACCTCTTGCCTTTTGGTGAATTTAAAAAAAAACGAAGCTTTTGATATGTTTGATCTCATTTATCGGGACTTGGATCAATGTAATGAATCGCATAAGAAACACAGATGTGCTTATGCAGAATTAAAGCAAATATTATGATCTTAGTCGTTCCAGAAACTACTAACAAATGAATTAAAGTCATACACTACAGAAAAATACCATAAATTAATGACTTCTTGCCGGAACACTTGTTGTTTCATTTTAAAAGTGATCAAACATGATAGAAAAGGAAAAACTGAGTGGGCAAGCAAGTATGCAGCTATTGTGCTCATATATAATGAGGCTACTGGAATGATGAAATATTGAAGGTTTGGAGAGCAGGTTTTTTTTTTTGATGCTTTATTTTAGAACTTTGGCAACCGGTTTTCTCGGCGCTCCGTAATGGCAGCACAGTTTTCTGCGTGGCTATCACTCAACAGACGCTTAACAAAAAACCATCAAGATACACGTGTCATTTCTATTCCTGGTTCGACAACGTAATAAAAAAAATTCTGTTACAGTTTTCGTTTAACCTCGAGTTTAATCGTTCGAGTTCTAGTAATTATTTTACGAAGTTACTGCAATTATTTACTGCAGCGTTTTCTTAGATGAGGTAGGGAATTAATTAAATCAAAAGTGAAAATTGTATAAATTTATCCAGTGTTATTACAAAATAAAATGTATGTAAAGATGTAATTTTTTACTCGCCCTTTCACAGGAAAATATTCATAATGAATTTATTCAGACGCATGCAACATCGCAGCTAGCAATTAGTTTATACCTTCACCCAAATATACTTTAAAAAGATTAAAGTAATATGATAATTTCTCCACCAAGGTAATTTAGGTTAGCTTAGATTTCTCTAGGTAATTTGGATTGAATTAATTGAGTAATTAGGGTGCTGACGGTATGTATTTTTATATTTTTTAATTGAGCATTTGCCACCAAGATTCATCCCGTTCGTCCCAGTGAATACCAACAGAGGGAAACTCAGTACAATATCCACGTTCATATTGCAAGAAACTACATAATTAATATCGTTGCAAAATGATCCTCGTAATTTACATACACTATGAATAATGGGAACAGCTACTGTAAATACCCCCTCAAATTGATTAACTGATTCATCACATTAGTTTACAGATTGCCAACCCTATTGTTGAAACTCGTCATCATGCTAACTTTATTGTTGGCACACGTCATCATGCTAACCTTATTGTTTACACATGTCATCATGCTAACCTCATTATTGACACACGTCATCATGCTAACTTTATTATTGACACACGTCATCATGCTAACCTTATTATTGATACACGTCATCATGCGCCGACGCATCAACCACAAGAGGTGGCTGCTGTTCATCTCGTCCAGGCTCGCGTATTTAGACGAGTTACCCAGCAATTGGCAGGCTTTCTGTGTGTGTAGTCGTCGGTGCTGTTGCTCGACCTTCGTTTATACGAATTTCATAAATGTCAAAATTTTAGATACGGAAGTGTCTAAAAATGTTACAGGGGTTCAAAGAAAATAAATAATCCATGATATCAGCATGTATTGGAGGTTAAATAAATGTTTTTTGAAATGCGAGTCAGAAGTCATGTTTTGATGGGGTAAATTAGTCAATTAATTTCTATTATAAAAATTCTCATGACCTTACAAGATCGTGCATTTCAGTGTACTTTCATTATTGGCTTATAGTATTATTATAACGACTAAGATTAACCACCAGGAGAGAGTAAAAATATTACGCTGAGGAAAACATTTAGATAATAGTCTCATATAATTGCACACATAGTTTACTGTCATCAGCCCTTTATTTGACGTTTTTACTTACCTGCATTTTAGACCGCCACTTGGGACCAGTCTCTATCTCGTTGAATTGCAGCCAGGCCGGGTCACCATTCTGGGGCACGAATATTAAATATTATCCAAAATAATGAACTATATAGAAATTTAGTGAACGTATCGTTCACAAAATACTAATAAATACCTTGACCATTAGCTCTACCAACAAGTAAAATGTAGAAAATGATCTCTAAACAACAGTAAATATTTTTGATATGTGCGGAATTTTCTATACGGGCTAGGAAGTATTTATTGAAATTTCGTCAGTGGATAAAAGCAACTATTTATTGACTGCCAAAATATGTTAGTAGTTTATTTGAAAAATATAAAAATTATTTATACCAATGATGGAAAAATTCAAAAGTCAATATGACTTCATTGTCATATTGACAGTCAATATGTTTACCTGAGATCAAATTACCTTTAATATAAAGAAGACGAATACAAAAAATATCCATAAGAGTGCTACTTTAAATTTGATACGACCCATCTTCTCCTAATAAACGATTCTTACCAATTCCTATCGGTTACTAGCTATGTCAACATTGGTGCCTTAATGCAACGCATTCAATTTGAAATTAACTATTTTTCAACCTCCTGAAAAAATTGGGATGCTGGCATTCATAAGAAGTTTTATTAGAGATAACAAAATTCATAGAATGAATGTTGGTATGTTTCTTCAGACGGCATGAGAGAGATGCGGGCGTCGAGCCCATGATTGAACTAATGGTTGAACTAACTAATAACCATGGTCGAGCCTATCTGCACGATAATCTTCGCTGTAGGGATGAAGTGCAATGAACTTCGCTGCACCTGACAAGGTTCAGCGATGATTCAGACCGAATTTCGATGATTCGATGCATTCGGACCTGAATAAATTAGATAATTTAATGTAATTTAATTAGAATTTTGAGCATTTCTGTGATGTTACGATTATCATAAATTTTGATGCCAAAAGTTTGAAATTTAAGAAATATTTTAAAAGTATATATTAATTATCTATTATTAATTAATTGAAAAAAACTAGTCATTTGATTGATAATTGCTGAAATTTAATATTACATGGGGTTCAGAAATTACTCATCCCAAAGTATTTGAAGATTTGTTTCACGAATATTGATCAATGATTCGAGTGAAAATTTTTGGAAGCAAATTGACAGCTTTGGATGACATATTAACGAATAAAAGTTGCGCTCGATGTTACAGGGATACAAATAAACCGTTTTACTTCCTGGAAAACATGCTTTACAAAAGAATTACAGAAATTGAATGAAATTTAAAGCTTTTAATTCATTTTCCTCCCTCGCCGAAATTGCTTGAGATGAACTGATGCAATACCCGAAACTTGGACACGCAAGTGGACAATAAAATAAGTTTCGGCACACCTTCTTAACGTGTTAACAGTGCAATCAATTTAACTAATCGTACGAATTGATAGATTTTTAAGCAGTTCCGCACACCAAGAAGAGCATACGGATGTCACACGACCAGCCTGTGATGGCAGACTGCTGAGACTGAGCTTGGATAAGCGCCTACATCGCCTGAGGCAGGGCAGGTTGCGGGGCGCTGGAGGAGTTTATAACTGTTGCGGTGTTGCGCGTAAATCACTGCTACATATGATTTGAAACTGCGCTGAATTGGAGCAAGTTGAAGCATCTGGAGATCAGTTCCTAAACGTATTGGACTTGTCGTAAACCAAAAAACCAGTAAAATCACCAATATCTTATCACTCTAAATCTTCGTACGTGCGTTATCGTACAATGATATTATTATCCGATGATTAAAAGCGTCACATATTTTAACTATGATAATTTGTATTGTTACCGTCATAATTGTGCAAGACAAGGAAACTGAGGAGATACTTGTAAAAAATGCATTTGGGATGTTTGGGTTTTTACAAAGTAGCAGCGCTGATAAAAACAAATATATTAGGGAATCGATATTATTTTATTAATCCGCCACAACTTGCATGTAACCGCTCGGTTTCATTCTGTTAAACCGGCCCATCAGAAAAGGAAATATAGCGGTTAAATTTTGTAAAAATTTTTTTTTGCATACCTTACAGAAAAAATCAAAAGTACATGACCCTTCGATAAAAAAAAACTGATAGATCTTTGGAATGCTAATGGAACCATGAAAAAAGTACGTCTTGTGAATATCTTGAATAGCAATTGATGAAGGCATGAGAAGCAAGTGAACGGTAACGTGCATTCTAATATAAACAAAGATGATGTCCTAATTTGCATTGTACAAAATTTTCACGCGATTGTTGACCTCGTTCCCTAAATTGCATTTATTTCAAAAGCAGCCATTAAAACGGCAACTCTTTGATGGTAATTTTTTGGGGGCACGTGGTAATATAATCACTGGATATTAGTAACTATTTCTCTAAAAAAGCTCAAGATAAGAAACGTCCAGACATATTTGTGATGATAAAAGGTTCGGCCAAATATTTTTGATGCAGTACTGAAAAAATATACTAACTCAGTACTCACTGCAGTGAGTGACAGAGAGCGCATTTTCTCGTAGACGAAAACGTGAAGTCACGGACGGACAGATAGAAGGACATGGCGAGAACAATATAGTGCATTTTTCCATAAACGAGAAAATGCGCTAAAAATAACAGTTAACTTGAAAATCATCAATGAGCTATCAAGATAAGACCTTCAAAATAATTAAGATTTGATATAGATCAAAGTTTTCGTGGAAACCCTGCCAAAGTCTTATATTTATAATTGGTCTCTCACTCTCAGGAATCAACAGCTTGAACAAGTAAGCTTGAAAGTGACTCAAAAAAATAATGGTAGTGTTGGGGGATAACTTCCAACATATAACGGCAATTGCGACACTTCAATGGTGGCAATAGTTGAAAGTTAAATCAGGTGAACTTGCTCAGGTTAAACAATCGGGTCCCAACGGTGGTAAGGTTAATTCAAAAGACGAAGTTACAGCAGTACCAAACGTTAATTTCTGAAGTCAGTTGCAACAAGTTTTGCAGACAATTAACTTCGAGAATATGTCCGTGCCCATGTAAAAGCGGAAAAATACTGCTTATGTAAAAAATATGATCCATGCGTTACTAAATATCAAATTCAGTCAGCGGGCAGAATACCAAACATGTACGCTCGACACAAATAATGGTACCTGTACACGCTAGTAAATTATAGGACGTCTTTTGTACACGTCGACGATTTGTCACTTGTATAGGACGTCGTAAATTATAGGACGTCAGGGTGGCCCAATGGTTAAAGTTCAGAGTATCAAGATTGGAGCAGAGAGGCGCGGGTTCGATCCCAGCTCGGTGCGCCAGTTTCTGCATGGTCAGAATCGGCGATGAGGCCGGGCGGTTAAAGCACAGCAGAATTTGAAGCAGTGAGTTGCGACTTCAAGCCCGCAACATGCTGTGGATGTTCTGCGATGTTAAGAATCAGCGACAGGCCTACGGCCTAATAAACGCTGAAACCGCTATATATTAAATATTTTGTCTCCCCAGCCACGTGGTTCACATCAAATAGACTCACCCGTCATAATAGGTCACTGTAACATCCGCCTACAAGTTATGACAAGAAATCGTAAGCATGGGTAATGCCAAAGAACCATTTCTGGCTGATCATCAATGATAAACGCTTAGTCCCGTCTTTACCCGCGCATCCCAGGGAAATAAATGACATACGAGTTGCGCCGCCATTGCATGCTTGGACATTACAAGCGGATATGCAAGCAATTCCGGGGACACGAACGATTTCAATTGTTGACTAAGTTACAACGTTATAATTTTATTTTTTGTGATCGAGTATCATGGGCTTTGATGTACTTTACAGGCGCCTTGTACCATTAGAACCTACCATCTGCATGCCCCGAATAACAAACAATAAATAATACCAAATATATATCTTACATAATCATTCTAAGTAAAAATATGTTGTAAATATTTAGAGTTTTGCCAATAAGTGGCTTTTTGCCAATTCTTTGCATCGCAGAACTTTTTCAGCAATCTGAGGGAATCCTAATTCACTCTACTGCAATTTTGTTGTTTGTTAATATAAAAAAGAAAGAAGCCAGCCGGCCAACTGGCCCATTACGATTATAATTTTTACAGTTAGCTGTCAGTTTCGAACCCGCAACTCACTGCTCCGAACTTAGTGATCTTAACCACTCGCCAGACCCGAGGTCTGATTTTTACAAAGCACAAATTGAAGCGATAAATATTAGGACCGTTTGAAGTTAGCGATGTGTCGCTAGGACCGGTTGGATGACATGCCGAAACACAATCGAAAGTGAAAAGTTTTTCGCATTTGAGAAATAAGGAATAACTTACTTTAATTCGTGCATGATCACGAAAGAGTTCTCGCGCCACCTGAGAAGCATATGCGTACCAAACATCGGGAACCACTGATAATATGAATAGAAATTATTATATAAACTAAGATTTCGTTCCATATCATGCATAATAAATTTTTAAAGTAAGTTTAGTATTCATATTCACGGCTGGATGCATGCGGCGGAAGCACGGAAATCACAATCAATGTTCTTTGAAAAGTACACTCTCCCCCACTGTTTGAACAAGTAATGCGCGCTTCAGATGCGAACAAAATGCAGATAAGTTGACCAAATTCGTTCTATTAGAAGAGCGAGATTTAAGATAATGGAGTTCAAATATTATCAGCCACAGCCTTCACAACGACACGCTAATTTTCAGAGAAGCAGCAAAAGACAATTACGTGTTCGGGGGCATGGTTGAAAAATGGTTACATTATTCTAGTTATTCTATTTGAAAAAAAAAAAAATCCAGAGACCTTCCCTCTGAACTCATTCGCCAATCTTAACCTAAAATTGAAAAGTTTTTGCGTTTCACTTCTATTTTACAAGACTTCTCTTTAACTTCACTTCTTGTTTGTTTGTTTGTTTGTTTGTTTGTTTGTTTGTCTGTCTGTCTGTCTGTCTGTCTGCTACAAATCTTGTAATCGGAATTTAATACTTTTCTACTTATCCTATCGATCTGAAATTTTGCACACTTGTGTAAAGTTGGAGACAATGCATGAATCAAATGTCAAAATAAATAATTTTAAAAATTAAAATTTTTTTTTTTCAATATTAAAAAAATTGAAAAATAATTTTTGTCAGCTACAAATCTCATAACTGATATTTGACACACTTATACCTGTCTAATTGATCTGAAATTTTGCACACTTGTGCAAAGTCAGAGGTAATGCATGAATAAATTAATAGAATAAATAATTTTGAAAAAAATTTAAAAAATTATATATTAAAAAAATGTATATATTAAAAAAATTGAAAAAGTAATTTTTTTAATATTCAAAAATTATATGAGAAATTCATTGTACATCTGTAAGATTGGAGACACTGGATTCTTTGGAAGTGTTGTCTTTAAAAAGTAATTTTTAAATGTATATTTTTATTAGAAGTAAGCTCACATAGTTACAACAAGTCTAGCAAAATTGTCGATGTGGTATTGGAAAGCTTGTTTATTTATTTAAGAATTTCGGCGCCAAACAAGCTGTGTAGGGGCAGCGGCTTGGTATATAAAAGCGTCAGCGCCCGGCAGTAAAGCCATGGGTCCCTCCTCTCAGTGCACAGCACTAGTGTCAGTACAATTCTAGACGCGCTGCCAGTAGGGTAGGTCTTGCTGGCTTCAATAACTTCACTCGTCTCGCTGTGAGAAACCCGTTCAATTGTTTATATTCATTCGTGATTACGAGTTATTATCAGATTTAATTACAGGATAATGTAATATTGATAGTTTAGTTAATAATCGTCACTTTGAATGATAATATGCAAATTAGTTATTATTTGCAGTTAATGTGTAGCAATAGTCGCACGCGGTAGTATGATGGTTTGCCGCAAATGTATGGGACGCGCGAGTGATTTGAAAAAATTTGAACCTAATATTCAAGTATTGAAGTTTGTAGAATATAAATAAAAGTATTAACGAAAGTCAGTACCGGAACGGATTGTATTTTTTTTGCAAGAAAACATATTATTCAAACGTTTGTGAGCTTTATTTGACGATTCACTGATTTTATAAACATTCAGCAATTTTTCTTGTATAACTTCCTTCCTAATCTAATATTTTTATTCAGCACTGACTTTGGATGAAAACTGGTTCAGTGGTTCAGTGGAATGACTGAAAATAAAGTGTTAAATTTATTTTGTGTGTGTGCGTGTATTAACTGGATTTTTCTAAATTACACTGGAAATTTTGAAACACGAAGCACTTTGAAACAGCTGAATTTTGTGGTCTGTTTAGCAGCTATCATTTAACTCATTCAGCTATGTAGGCCTCAATATATTTTCATTCAGTATTTTTATTTTATTTGTAGGTCCCACATGAGATTAAATGCTAAGCAATTAATGACTGAAATGGTCTCATCAATACATTAATTTTATTGAGGAAAACTGAGTTACGAAGTGAGTTCCACGCATCATGATTCGTAAATTCTTCATATTATTTGTAGTCGGTAAGTGAGTCTAATTACGGGTCTTCTATAAGTAGAATGGAATTAAAATTGATTGCTTGAACAGGCTCTAGCTGTTTTATGATTTATAAAAATAAATAACATATAATATTATGTATTTTATTAATAAAATGGTAAACTACCCTTAAGAGGGATCGATAATATGGAGTTGCCCACCTTCATAGGTGGGCAAAAAAATAATAGAAAAATTGTAAATAATTTGTCTACAAGAATATAGTTCATAGCAATTTTTGCATGATAAGTTTTGATATATTTATAAACAAAAAATCCTCTACTAGAACCTATTCTATTATTGTCTTTTTGCTTCATTTCAGTGAAGACTACTTCTTTATCTCAGTAGAGAAGACTGACTTTCAATCTTCAAATATTGAAAGGGGTACAACGTAAATTTCGTATAATTTATAATATTTATTTTTATTTAAATCTCCGAAAATTATTTATCATGGATTATTTTTCAGCCTTCTTATGTGTGTGTCTGCATGGAGAGGTGGTAAAAATATATTCATTTTATGGAGGGGTCGACGTGTAAAAAAGTTCACCAACTTCTAGTCTTAAAAACGGTATTACGAAAGATAAATAATTTATTGCAGGGGTCGACGTGTGAAAAAGTTCACAAACTTCTAGTCTTAAACCACAATATAACGAATGATCAATAATTTATTGCAGGGGTCGACGGGTGAAAAAGTTCACCAACCCTTGGTCTAAAACCAAGATATTACAAACGATAAATAATTTATTGCAGGGGTCGACAGGTGAAAAAGTTCGCTAACTCTTGGCCTTAAATCACTGTATAAGTATCGACAATTTCAATAAATGTTATTGACACATATTTTTTTATTTGCGCTGATATGTTGTGAGTATCTCGGGTTCAATAGGAATCATAGACGACACAAATTGGTGCAGAGTTTAATGCGTTTGAGGAGAGCTCTAATATGAAAATAAAATTGAAAAATTTAGTAAAAAATTCTAAATTTTCAATGAGGGTCTCATAAGTTGTCATGAGATTAAGGAAAACGTACAGTCAACTAAACAATGTGTAAACGGGCCGGCGGCAAACACTATTATTTGAACTAATATTGAAGGAGTTAGCTATGGTGGTATAACGGGTGTGCGCTAGATCAAACAGGAAACTTTTCATTGAGAAGTTCTTGTTTGATGTCATCATTCAACTTCAACGCTGATATTATACTTATGCTTCATTTATTTTGTCTAAGTTTTATTATTAACTTTAGTCTCTGAAATTTGGTCCAGTCAAATTAATGTAATTAATAAATTTATGAACACTATCATTAACGTTGAAGTCGCCATGACTTCTGTGTCAAGTGGTTCGTTGTTTTGGCCTTTAGAACTGATTTTGTCTATCGTAGCATATGCATGAAATTTTTCCCTGTGAATTATAAAATTCTATTCATAGATTGAAATAATTATAGGTTCAAGAAGTAGCTGCTAATCAGTAGTCAATCGTCATGAATTTTATTGATTTTATTTATTTTATTTATTTATTGTTGCAGAAGCAACATTTAGCAGCGAAGAAACTGATCAAAGAGAAACATTTTATTTATATAATATTTATTGGAAAGACATTCGTCAAATGGCTGCTTGTTGAAAAATGTCTTTCAATCCGATGCTGAACGAGCTTCTCAAACATTTCCTTTCATGCAACCACAAATTTTCGTTATGGTGTACCATAACCATACGTTATGGTACCATATGGTATGGTGCACTATACCATAAAGTATTATGTAGACCACACTAGTCACTTCTCATCAAAAACCTTTAGATTTCAAGGAAAACACTTCAAAGAAACTCAAAAGTTGAAAAGCAAGAATCTTCAAGGTCTAGCTTAATAAAACCAATGCTGTGAATGGCGCCGCAGATTTAAAGTCATAAGTCGTACTAAGCGTCTCCGACATTGATCTCAAGCCTCTTGGTTGCTCCGAGTTAGAACGTGAGAAGGCAACACACCAACACAGAAGCTGACGCCCCAACCTCTTATACATAAGGCACCCCAATTCCTTAAGAACTCACTCCAAAGAGCCTCAATTCAGCTATAATTTGCTTGGCTTTCATAGTCAATTAGACGTCAGAGAATATGTGCTCGCTGCGTTATGAGTAAGTCACACTTCGTCGGATATTTTTTTGTTACGGTATTCAAGTACCCCACAATTTTTACTTTTGGGACCACAGTTAAAGGACATTTTTTCATTCCATAGGAGACTTTTTCCAGGTACTGTGCTTTGGTTGATGGTGTTTGCTATTATATGGTGCACATATTTTTATGTAGTATAATACAAGAAATATTAATGTGCACATTAAGGTGAAATTCGATTAAATTAGCCTCAACACACAGCAATCCAAGCTTGAGTGCGTTAGATTTTGGGAATCAGAGGCATCGTAATCGTATATAAATTGTAACATTCGAGCAAGAAACAATTTTCTCAGGAAATAATGTTAAAACTTAATTTTGATCGCACTGGGGAAAAAACGAAGGTGTGTTGAAAGGCATTAGCAATTGACTAGATAAGCATTCTTTATGTCAGATAAAAGTGACATCGTGATAGACACCTACTCTATTTTTAAGTATAACTTCCAGAAGACATAGCATATCCATCAGACCTTAACTTGTGAGTGATTGAACACTATCCAACGGTGCACGCAACCTCACGATTCGTGAGGACACACTTTTGTATCTTATAGCATGAGCGACGCTAAACCCATTCTTACTATATATCCTCAGGCATCCTGCCTATGCAGCACGCACGCAGTGAGCCACCTAATGTGGATAGATTGACTTCATTTAACTCAACAACCTGACTTAGGAAATAAACACGGCACACTGCTCTGAGCATTGGCTGTTTGGTATGACAGATATATTTCATAATATAATCGTGCCAAGCAGGTTTACCTGGCATTACTTGAGAGTTTTTTTTTATGATGAGCAACTAGCAATTGGAAACGAGACATCCTCTTCAGAAGAGCAGCGAAAGATCAATTGGATCTATGATACGTACTTCAAACGAACAAATATTATGAATTATCGGTTTTGAGTGTTCATTAATTTCAAGAAGGTACGAGAAATGACTTTTAAGATACTGCATACAACTCATTTCACTGAAAATTCGTGTTTAAAAGAAGAGCATGAACAAAACGCACGCCATAGCTAATCATAAATTTCTTTAGAAACGAAGCCGGATTTTTATGGTATTTTTTCAAAATTTTTAAACAGGGCACGTGCGGGAATATCACAAAAGATGTAGTCTTCCTTTGATAATAAGTTTAATCCTATAAATAAAGCTCATGAGGTCATTTTGAGCGTTTATCTCCCGCCTCCTCCATAGCTAAACAAGCCAAGCATCTCTTCCCCTTGTTCAGAGTAAATAGTAGTAAATAGCTCACGATCTAAAACGTTTAAATTCCTAGAAATTCTCCTTAAGCCGACAATTGCTTGCGACTGTAACATACGTACGGGTACAGTCGTCCCTTATCTCCGTGATGTATGCTTGTTTAACTATATTATATATGTAGACGAGGCCATCAAGGTGTCAAGAGAGACCACTGCGTTAATTATAATGAATACAAGGAATCGGCCGTTTGTGTGCAACAAGAAAATTTGAAAAAATATTATGCACCTTTTTACGCACCTGTCAATGTGAAGGACCGAGTTCATACTATGCCCACAAGCATAAATCATCATAATTTCTTAGGAGAGAGTTGGTTCAAATTCTATCAGAAAGCCATGCCATTTCTACTGTTGAATTATGTAGATTGTTAATTATTGTAGTTTTGGCACTCGATGATATTCAATTGTTCGACCTCCTTTTAATGCTCCAAATTTTTAATAGGGATATAGTGGAGGCGGTCCATCACTCTTCACTATTTATAGACCTCTTTTGAAGAACCTTCTGGCGATTTATGTAAATAAACAGCATATGCTAACCTGCTATCACGCAGCTCCGACCTGCGTTATCGTACACGTGTATATTGTTTGGCTGCTATTTTAGCTCAGATGTCCATTTCCGGACAAAGTTCACGAAATATTAACGTTGTAGTAGTATTGCAGCGTCGCTCAGCATGTAAAATATACTCATTGTAAAACACAGAAGAAATTTAACGAAGACACAAAAATTAAGGAAAACTATCATTTAAGGTAACTAAAGGATGACCTTAAAGAATTAAGGTCGCTAGCATTGTTTGTTGTTATATTAGCTTCGACATTCATCTGAAGTTGTGCCTGCATTATATATAAATATTTAATCAGGTGCCATAATGCTAAGTACAGGCGCTTTTTCTGATAAGCAAAAATTTTTAATTAAATTTATAAAATCGAGCCCTTATTGTTCGTAAATTTTAAAATAAACGCATTCTCCTAGTTAATGGCTTCATAAGAATTAAAATCTGCTAAAGGGAAATTAATATTCAGTTTAAATTGAGTATCTGAGCAGTTAAATTTCTTGCCGTATGATAGCTCTTTTACCATAACTTCTGAGGCCGATGTTGCGTGGATATGGAAGGCACCCTCGTTGAGATGTAAACAAGGTTTGCTCAGCTAGGTGCAGCAATATCTTCCGGATCAACTAGAGCGGACAATGCGATTGGTTGTCCTTATTTGTAAAATTAAGATTTATTTATTGTAGTGCTTTAAGTTAGAATCCAGATAAGTCGTTGCACCAACTTCAAAAATTATTGATGAGAAATTTTTCCACGTGTCCAAGGAAATTCTTGAAGCATTGATGCCTGCTTTCCTTTGTATAATTGCGGGAGATTTCTGTTATATTTTGCAAGTTTCCAGAATTTTGAAATTCGTTACGTCTTTAAGATAGAAACCTGCCAAGAGAACCCGTGTTTTAGGTAAAGTTTATTGTTAAATGAAGCATAACTCTTTCACCGTAATCGTTTTACTGGGCCAAAGTTTTTTTAAAGTAAGCAATACATTAATTTTTATTATTTCAATTTTGAGGCTCAAGAAGACAACGGTGATTCACAATAAAAATACACTCTACAAATATTTGAATTATATTCCGTGTTCTATGCCATTCTCTACGGCATGCAATTAAATGGAAAACTTCTATAGATTTAAATGGGCCACAATTCATCATTTTCTGTTAAATTTGAACGAAAAGAAATTATTCTCTTTGAGACTACATGAGCCCTAATTTTACAACGTAGAATAATGCAGCGCTGATAATAAAATTTGCAAATTATAATACTGAAATTTGCAAAAAATAATACGTAATATCGCTTATTGAGTGCAACAGTTTAGGATGAAACTGAAGCGACTTGCACGTCTAATCTCTTCTAATTGCCCTCTTTAAGAGTATCGCCCAAGAAGTCTAAATGTTCATGTAGATCCGAGACTCGAGCTTTAGAGAAGATCTCATTTTAGCGCTTTGTGAAGCCTGACACCTTCTTCCTACATATGAATACTTGGCACTAGTTCAGTGCGCCGTATGGTGCTTTAAGTCTATGTTGATTATAACAAAGCCATGCAAGCCTCAGCTAGAGGAGGATGTTTGTCCAAATTAAGTCTGTTTACTATCCGTTAATATATTTGAAATGAATATTATAGTGCATCCAAAGATGATATCGTGAAGTGATTCTAAATTATACATTTTAACTTGCTATTGAAAAAAAATTTTAAAGAGGTTTCGGCCAAAAATAAGTAAGGTGTTTTTTTAGAAAAATGGAATTAGAATGAGACGCCATGGATGAATGATCCTATATATTAGGAGCCTGCGATCGGATCTTGAAATAGAATAAGTCTCAAAGAAATAAGTCACGTTATTACAGTTGCGCTATCATGTTGATCAATAATGCGGAACAGAAAAGAAATGCGAGACTTTATCTAAAAAGACTGTATTATTTTTATAACTCTATTTGTAGCACTCTTTGTAGGAGATCGATGTTTGGTATTTACCATTGTAAATGCTAAACGATTCAGTAACGAACAATGCTCAGCTTTATACAAAGAAACGAAAGATGCAACACTGAAGTTTTGACTGCAATTTCACTGTGCCGGATTTTTTATTCTTGAAACTGCTCTAATGGAACTAAACATAACAATATTCTTAAAGAGGGAGTTTCTCTCCTAAAAATAGACTTTCTCACTCAGTGGTGCACCTACACTTATAGGTTCCTCGCCCATTATTTTTCCTGTGTGAGAGTTACGCGACTATTTTCTATTTTCCATTGTACCGACAGTAACATCAGATAAACAATTTTTGTTTTAAAGTTTATTCTATATTCAAACTGGAAATTACTGAACAATGAAAATGAAACTAAAAGTTTGCTTACTTTACGCATGGATGACTCAATTAAAATTTTAAATTTTACCACTTAATTATAAACGTTTTTAAATGGTCTATTGGTTTGTGGTAGGAGCTGTAGAATAATCGTTGGCTACGGTAAAAAGGCCCTTTATTATTTGATGCTGAATAAAAAAATTCAATTTTATTCGGCGTGTTTCTATGGGCTTATCATTATATTGTAGTCATGAGGACTGTAACACTGTTTATTTTGGCAACGTAGACTCGTTCTTAAAATACTTTTCAATACTTTCGTAATTAAACGAAAAAATTTGATTTCAGTCGACCAATATGCATTATCACTTTCATTTACATAACGTTAACAGTGCAACCTTGTTCATGAATAAATAAGTTTCGTGAAATTATCTATAACATTTTCTCAATGTTTGAACATGTTCCACTTGAGTTACTAAATCTCTTTTAATATCACTTAATACATTCAGGAATATTCATGCAAGAAATAATTACAATACAAATAATATAAATCAGCACCGTTTTGCAGCGATGCTGTCCAGCATGGAAGCTCTCACACAAGCTTCCCCCAAGATAGAGTCTCTTCCTCAGACGCTGCTGGTGCAGGAAGGCGACAACGTAACATTGCACTGCGCACTCGAAGACCTCGGTGAGTTATGTGAAACGCGTACACGATTCAAATTTTCAGTCGCGCTTAAATAATATGTACTTAATTTAATCACTAATTATGTAGGATATTTCATGATTTGTCCGTATGGATTATATTATTTACCGGATGACTTGGCAAAATAATACCAAATTACTGTGGAAAAAGCTTTGAGCGTATTACATTAATTTTGTCATTTCTCGTTTCTGTTACAGTAAATAAATTGTTTTCAGATATCGATCGTTACAAAAACTTTCTAATATAGTCATTAATAAGTTGATGAAATAAAGTTAACATACAAAAAAAATCACAATATTGAATAAGCATTCGTCCAATTTATCATTTATCAATAGTTGATCAATATCAACGATAGTATCATAGATGAATATCGGTAAAACGTACATCCGTTTGCTATTGTGCAGTGCTCATGTGATTGACGGAATGCGAAGGTCAACAGCCGCAGCGATTGACATGGAATTTATTTTTACAGGAGATCACGCCGTCGCCTGGCATAAAGAGGACCACTTAATATCAGGGATGATGAGGGGGGCGCTTACTAAAATCACAGATGATCCAAGGTAGTTCAGTTGTAGCTCATCCAAATAAACTATAATACTCAATCTTTCTATTCTAAGAAATGTAGCGGTAAACATTTTTCATGTGTGTGATAAATTATTCCGCTTCGATTCTCGAGCTTGTAAAGTTGCAACTCCAGCATCACAACTGAAGAAAAAGTTGAAGAATAATGTAACTTCAATTATTAACAGCCTCGATGAAAGTCAAGAATGTGGTTTCAGATGAGAAAATAACATGCCTATCATTAGTTCATTCAAACAATTTTGTAAACAATAATAAAAATTGAGATCAACACTCCTTTGTAGATTACATAACGACAGTGAACATCAAACGTTTTCGAAAAAAAGGTCACGAAAAATAACAACAGCACCCTTTTTGTCGCGCTGCTACAGAACATAGGAGACAATCGATGATGTCATGCTTTAGACGCGCAGACTTAGCCACCGGCATTTTTTTCCAGGTTGGACCATGCAACGGCTCTCTTGTCCCTTCCTTGGCTTGTTTCAATATCTTAATCCAGTGGTTTCGTATGAATTGTAATAGAATAGAAGCGTCAGCACTGAAGAAATAGGCCCATGGCCTGTTGCCGATTCTTGTACTTTTCGTGACTTGATTCACAAGGGATGCCTATAGAACCCGATCTTTCCATAACTGACGGCTCGAAAGGATGATGTCACGGCACCGAATCGCCAGATGCATTGTGAGATTGGCCGCCATATTTGTAGAATAGAATAGAATAGAATAGAAGTGTCGGCGTTGAAGAAATAGGCCCATGGCCTGTTGCCGATTCTTGAACTTTTTGTGACTTGATTCACAAGGGATCCGGCCTTTGGAACCCGATCTTTCCATAACTGATGAAAACGGCACAGTTAAAGTTAAAAGTTGAAAATCTGGGACCGCAAAACACGAGCGTCCGCTCTCGACCACGGCTGAAACTTGACTTCTAATGAAGTCAAGTCTAGCAGGGTCTAGCTTTCGCCTACGTGTTGAATCTACTGCGATCGTCTCTTTTCAAGTTTTTGCTTGAAGATGGGACGCTATCTGCACCGTTGTAGGATTTACCAGTCGTTCTCACGGCCATTTAAACAGAAAACTATACAATGGAATGCCTTTATTCAGTTTAGTAGCCGTGAATGCCGTGTATATCGTATCAGTTTATGGCTCGTACTGATATACGTATCGCATATCAGTTTACCAGCCGTGAATATTTATTACGTACGTTACTATACATTTTCCAGGGGCAAAATCTGTTACTTGCCTTTAGATAAGCTACATAAGTAAGAATAAAACGTAATAATATTTACAGATCAGATAACATTGTCATGATCCATTATCCTGCAGCGATGATAGTGTTGTTGCAGTTGATCAAAATGATTCGCTTTGTTCTATAACATCAAATGTTTCGAGTTATTTACATTGCCTTTCAATTTAAAAATAAATTGGTCTTGCAAAACGTCGAGGTTTCTGGTGAATTGGTGTGTTGTTGGTCAGTTCTGTGGTCTGAGGTGTCACATGAGCGCGTCCAATATCGGGATCGGTATTACTATGAGGCGTCCGAAACCTGGTTACCTGGTAAGCATTGATAAAACTCTATCCTTTTCCTCTTCAAAAAGGTGAAAATGAATTTCATTTTTCATTCTTAGAAGGTTCCATTCATCAGCATCATTATCTTCGTCCAGTTGTACTACCAAACTAACTCTACCAAGTACATCGCATTTCTTGATTCGTTGAAGTTTCGTTTCTCCATCGCCTGTACCCATCCACAAATTGTTTGTAAGCTTCAAGCGTCTTGTATGCCTTGAATTCTTGCAAGGTGTATTGGCTGACCACCAAACACCAAATAGTTTAGTAAATCACCGTGTTAAACGGGAGGCAGGCTTACAAAATCTGCACATCACGGCTTTGCCGGCACTTCGTTGGCATCAACTTCGTTAGTGTCGAACAATTTTCTTAAATATCGGTCTCTCATGAAGGAAGAAGTTTTTGACAACAGCCTAATCCTTTCTGCTCTGTTCTTTCTTTCTCCATTGCTACCAAAACGTCCAATTGTGTAGGAACGAGAGAGTAAGCTGAGGCGCCAGTGTGATACAAAGATGGCGGCGTAGCAACGCGGCTAACTTGGATACGCGGGAGCTTGGCGAGCCCGATAGCAGACTGAACATATGCTCCTGCATAGCTTCGTCTAGTCTGTTCTTGGTTGAAATTATTTCCCTTTTAACTACGAGTTTTCATGTTTTGGGTTAGTCGAACTGCTGGACTTTTATTACCGGTTTCTAACCCAAAAACGACCGCAGATGTTATTTAACATCTTAAATAAACTATTGCTTTACTCGTTCAATTTATTATTACTTTTATTGCGTAAAGTCAATAAATTTAAAAGTATCACAGTAGAAACTTTCATTTATACCCTCTGATGACACTGGCTGCCAGAATAATTCTGTACAAATTAACAAATATTTTAAACTACCTACTCCTAACGTTGCCTAGCTGAACCATTTCAAAAATTCAGAATATTGGTAAATACTTTTTCCTGTATTACAAGAAAAAGATTGTACAAAAAAAGTTCATTGACTGCAGGTTTAGTTAATCTGATCTCATCTGCATAAGTAATCTGATCTCATCTGCAAAAATTGCTTCAAACAAATACCCAAATGCACCTATTAAATAAGTTTGCAACTATAGATATTTTTTAGACCTTGAAGCAGGTTTCATTGAAGACCAGAGAATTCGTTTTATTGACAATTTTCTTATTAGTTTTTTTCAATGGATCGAACAACATTTTTCGTGTGCACAGTTTTTTGGTATTTTCAGACTAGTACCCAGCGTCTCGGAGTTGGTTCTTCATCGCGTCGTGGCTGCAGACTCCGGCATCTACACCTGCAGCGTCGGGCAGACGATGCCGCAAGGCTACCACGACATCAACGCCTCGAGTACCGCGCAAAATTATGGGGAAATTCTTCAGCTCTCGCACAATCTCACCGTCATTCGCACCACTAAAGAATACGGTAATTTCTGGGAATATTTTTAACCATTTTAGAGGTAAAACCCTGTTAAAAATCTTCGAAAATTGGAAATGAATGACTAAGGCTCTTCTTTTTTTGGCACACATCGAAGAATCGCAAGTTCACAATCCAAAATCATCATTTTGAAATGTGTTGGTCGGGTTCGTTACATCCTCATACCCACTCCCTTATTTCCGGTAACGATGAAAAAGCCTGCTTAGTTCCGTGCTATATTCGACATAAATGAATTGCAAGTTTCAAATCAAGTGGTATTTATCTAGCGCTTCTCTGTTCTGCAGAGGCGACTGGCAGAGGTAACGTGCACACGGACTACTCGCCATTTGAAGGCACCTCCGTTGAGCTGAGCTGCGCGGTATCGGGAATACCAAGACCACTAGTTCAATGGACGAAATACGTAAGCTTTGTAATTAGAGTGAATACGCTAGCTACGTAATTTTCAAACGTTACGTTAGCCAATTGTGATTTACTGTATCGTGGAAGATTTTAATTTTTAATTCGTTCTTCTTCAGTAATGTTGGGCTAAATTAGACTCGCTGTCGACTAACCTTTCCTTTCACACTCCTTCCTTTCGCAGACGTCGATAACTGAGGCTTGGAAGCTTCATAATCTTTAATCTTTCTTCATAGGACTTGCCCTTCCAGCCTGGAATTGTCCTTGTTGCGCGTCTTTGAACATTCTCTATTAAATTTTTGTCCTTTTCAAATCTCGGTGACCACACAATGTTTCCAAACTCTAGATTCGGGCGCACGACAGCAACAAACAACTGCTTCATCGCTTCTGCATCTAGGAACTCGTATGAGCGTCTGATTAATCCAAGAAGTTTGTTGGATGTGTTAGCTTGCGTTTCAACATGCTTAGAAAATTTTAGCTCCTTGTCAACATAGAGTCCGAGACCTTTTTCCACACTAGACTTTCAATCATTACTCTCTCGTTGCAACCATGTCTTAATTCTCATACTGTATTCTTGCTGTTCATTGTTCTTCCCGAGGTGAAGTACTTTATACTTCAATCAATGAGGCGTGAAAATATCTACAACTTGTTTTGTAGGTAGTCATTTATTATATATCATTCAATAGTGCTGTATTGGGACCTCGGGACCCCTTCCTTTCTCTCCTGAAAAACTAGTGACGCCTCTAACATGAACAAAAGTAAGTAAAAAATTATCGACATGATGTTATTCCGTCAAGTGTGCTCGGTTGATTGACGTTTGATATGCGTCGGCCCTCTTTAGGTTTTTCGAACGCACAACAAATTAACATGCAATCCCGCCATCATAAATGGAGAAATTAAATTTCAGAGAATCCTACAGGCATTTTCGACATCTGCGGAAGAAAACTGTGGATGCACCGACAGCAACTTCAAGACCTCCAGATTACCTCCACAGCCTCTAGGTGTCAGAGAGAATCTGACGTTTGCCAACGTTCGGCGCTCAGATTCAGGCATTTATTCTTGCAGTGCATACAACGGTATCGGCCAGGTCGAGACTCTAAACATCACAATGAGAGTCATGTGTGAGTGAAGGTTTTTAGATGTGTGATCGAGTTGCTGGCAAAAATGCAGATTAAAACAACTTGAGACAAGATGATAAGTTTACCATCAGGCTATGATAACGTTTATTCGCTACTCAATATCAATGTTCTCATAAGGGGACTATATTCATTATATTTAAATTGTGCAGTCGCACCTTCAGTAAAAGTTCCAGTGCGGAAAGTGTATAGCGGCAAGGACGTCTCGACCGTGCTGTGTTGCGACAGCGATGCCCATCCTCCACCCAGCGTCACTTGGTATAAAATGCAAACTCCGGAGAATCCCTACCGAAGTTATGATCCTGAAGCATCTGAGCCCATACCCAGTGACGGGCTTGATGGTTTCTGGACTAACGATCGCCACTCGTCTTTGACCTTCAGTCCAGAAAATAATCCAACTTGGAGTCCTGTGAGCCCTACGAGACTCAAGAAAGCTGGCTGCCAGAACAGACACACTGCTTTTTCCAGGTACTTCTTCGGGTTGATTCTCAATGGTTTACATTTCTACACTTTTTGAATTTAAGATGCGTAACCAGCTTTAAATGTATCTATATTTATCTCAATTTTCAAATCTTTACTCCACAAAGTTTTTTCAGACTTAAAAATTTTCAGAATTACCTCGTGATAAATTGCTATATTTTCCTGTAGTATCATTTTTATGTCTACTTACAGAAACACTCTGAGCATACCACGCTTCCGTGAAGCAGATCTTGGCACATATCGTTGCATTGCAAGCAATCCGTTGGGCAATGACAGCGCCTACATTTCCGTTACCGGCGAGCCCTGGTCACTCTTTGTTGTGTCGGAGACTCACACAAACTTAACTGACTCCTATACCCTGGCGTGGCAAGTTAACAGCTATAACGAAATACTGCGCTACGAGGTCAGCGTAGAGAAGGTAATGAATCTGCTGGGTGAATTTCGGGTAATGAATGTACTGGTCACCAATTTTGGATAACAGATAACTTACACTGTCTTTACAGTTTAGCAGAGTCTATTTTTGTTTGGTATTCCCACCTAACGGGCGAAGTTTCTATCATCTTGATGCACTCGCTATAAGGTGTCTTCAGATTTGAGATCTTTTTATCTACCATAATTCTAATAAGAATATTCTGCCACATCTTCGATTGTATTAAAAAATTTATCGAATCTTTATTTCATTCATAAATTCCAATTAACCAGTGTCCATACTTACTTCAAGTTCTCTGATTTTTTTGCAGACTCGTCAGGCTTCAGAGGAGTCCTCGCCAGCCAGAAACTACACCGTCCCAGCAATTTTGACGCAAATGCCTGTATATCATTCACAGGTAATCGTTAACGTCCATCCAAATCTACTCAATTACCAACCTGAGGGTTATAAGAAGAGTCTACAAACTAGTAGATTTTAACACTAATTTATGCTCATATTTTATCTATAATATAATAAACAAATGGAAATTTCACTCATACTGACCTGAAAGCAATACCGAAATTCAGTGTTTAAAGATAAAAATGTCTATTTCGAGGGTCTATCTGAATCTATTAATTATGAACTTCTTCGCGGATACTCACTGAATGTCTGTTGCATGTGAGTTGCAACATTACCAAGTGTCTATGTTCATGATCAGTTAGCCTTGATGATATGAGATGTATCTCGGTCGAGCAGGTGAAGCATTTAACTGGCCTGAGTCCCGGCAGTTTGTACAGAGTTAACATTCGGGCATACAACTCGTATGGCTACGTTGATCTCGACTCTCCCTTCATCTTTCATACGCTTGGAGAAGGTTTGTCAACTTTAAATGTGCCTTCAACATTTTTTTGTGAGACGTTCTCGATTTGTTTTAACCTTTACATAACAATATAAAGATTAATTATTTAACTGCCAATTCGTGTTATCTTATAGCTTCTAAATCTTTATTTTTTTCTAACACTGCGTCACTGTTAATATATTGAATATCGAGCAGCCGAAGTTCCACGAAAGCAGTGATGAAGAACTGTGTTCGCACACGCTTTTTATTTGCCTGACGTTTAAGAGTGCATCCTCTGCTTACCATAACCTTAACACTATCTAAAGTCATCCCTCACTGTGTCGGACATTGAACAACTTTGCCTATTTTGAATCTGGTATTTACGACCAGATGGGTCATACGCCAGTGATCATTTAAGTGGCAGTAGCACATCGGACGACAACTTCTTCCCGACTGATTACTCCGACACTGAAGTGAACCTGGAGTCTCGACCGCCTGAACTCCTGAAATTCACTACCGAGCGCAGTTGTAAGCATTAAACTTTCGAAGCTAATTTGCAAATAACCGCAGAAAAAGCTTATACGTTCCATTCTGGCAGGATATGAGTTTTAGAGATATTTTCACAGACAACTTAGAGTGGGGGATGGGAAACATTTACTTTCTTCTCCTTCATTCCAGCTGCCGAAATAGAGAAGAGAAACAACATGGTGCCTCATAGCCGCCCACTGCAAGGAAACGTGTCCCTCAACGGTAATATTTTGTCTTTTTAAGAATCGATCATATTTTCCATTCTGTTTAAGTTGGTCGTCATACTTAAACGGGAGCGCTGCCGTAGCCCAAAAATTTGACTCTTAAATTAGCCCATGAGCCAATGCCAACCCTCCACATGCAATAGGAATAATCAGCCTAACACCTATGCAGCTGTTCTTACTTGCCTCATCTCGACACACCAGCTTGAAATAAGCAAAACCATCACTCGTGAACTTTTGTTTTTAATCTTCAAAGTAACTTGAGCTTAAGTTTCTGTGAAAGTCGGTTGGTCCGGCACTCGGGCAGAACGAATTTGCATGAGTATTGATACTACTGTATACAAGCATAGTATAGTATAGTATAGTATCTTCGGCATTAAATAATTTTTTTTAGTTTATAGCTGTGGCCCCTGGTGTTGGTTCTTGTTTCAAATTCTAGTAATCCTTCTGGGACCTTGTACAAGCCATGAGTATACTTGTATACTTCAATGAGGTCACCACGCAGGCGACGATAACGGAGACTGGGAAGCTTCATAATCTTCAATCTTTCTTCATAAGACTTGCCCTTTAATCCTGGTATTATCCTTGTTGCACGTCTTTGAACACTCTCAACTAAATTTATGTCTGTTGCAGAACTACATGTTACTATGTTGTACTATGTATGTTGTAGAAGAACTACACCTTTCAAAAACTGAATATAATAATTGCGTCATATCATTTCCCCATCGTCCATAGCTACATCATAATAATAATGACAATATGCGTCTTTCAAAGACGAAAAATATAGCAGAGTAGCATTTAGTTAGTGAATTTTTGTCACCCAGAGACGCCTTCAACGGCGCCGCCGAGGCAAGCGTCGCCTAAGGAGCTCGGCGCTCTTCTCACAGCCATCGCACTCTCGGCTTTTTTCTCGTTATCTGCTTCCAGGTGAGCCTCCGGATCTCAATTTAGTTCTTATATTCTTGAATCGCAGTTAATGCATTACGTTTACCGTTATTCATTTGATTTTATTATTACTATCAAAACTATCATGTTACATATTAATATCAAAACATGATATTATTAATTTGTTAAATATCTTGAATTACTCACAATTGGAGTCTTTGAAGTCTTTTTGCTGTTGTTCTTACCTCAAGAGGCTAAACGCAATCGGGAACCACGCTCATCAGAACATGTTTCCGCGCAGGTGGTGTGCCGGATAATGTTAATTCCCGGTCTGGAAGTGGAAGTGATGCCAGATTAGCTCTCGTCTGCGACACACCACAACATTTTCATCTAATGAATCTCCGCGCCTAATGACCTATTGTTATATCTGCTTACCGCATTGTAATGACGGATTTGGCACTAACATTAAGTTCATATTTTTTTTAATATAACCAGTTTGGTGATTTGAATACTTTCATCATAGATTTTCTGTTAATCTTAATCTGACCAACCGGATAATATGTCGCTGTTCATGGAGAAAAGCTTAAGGAACTTTTTGGAATAAACTGTTTGTTGCGCGATTCCGGTAATAGAAGAATTTGAATTCTCCAAAAACTCTTCATTATTTTTCGTGCGACGGAATTGGAAACGAAATAAGTTGTTCGTAATTGATTAATGTTGTGCTGTCTTTTTCGTACTAAAAATGTTTGCAGTGTAAGTCGGTGGCGACAAGTAAAACAGTCTTTATTGTTCTTTATAGTCTGCAATACCGTCTATTGATACTTGTAATCCGTCAGTTTTAAACGCGTTATGGTGAAACGGCGACCGCCAAATGTGATTTAAATAAAACTCGCGCTAGATGTACTACATAATATTATCTCTTGATGATCATTTGGTGGTGGTCATTTAGATATATTAGCAGCGTGCACTTTAAATTGTTCTTCTAGCATTCATGATGGTAATGCAGTAGCGCAAGTCGATGGGTTCTACATGTAAATGCTTTCAAGAGGATACTGACATCTTCGCTGATAATATCTTTGATACTATCAATATATTGATATTATGCACGTCGAACAAAGTAATAACCATATGTTCTTTTAGGTAACTGCAGACTGACTGTTGCTGCAAGTTAGGTTCACGCAAATGGTAAAAACTCTTCGATTTATGAGAAAAATTCATTTTCTAAACATTGAAATAAAATTCAAAAACTCTTCGATAATTTTTCGACTATATCATCGATTAATACAGAACTAGAATATGGACGTACATGAAAAAATTTATGCGATGCAGTTTTATGTTCATAGTAGATAATTCTAAAGGTTCATAGTTATGATAGTAGATGCATGTAGCAATCAATACTTCAAGTAAAATAAGGCCACTGTTTCTAATCGCGAGCAATGATTTTCATCATCGGCTAGCTGATGTCGACAACTTCAGCACGCTGAGAACGTAGTAGAAATAAATCGCAAAGCGATAGAAATTTAGGTTTCAAAAGCCTAGTGAGAAAGATTATGTACATACAATGAAGCATCGAAATAAAAACAGTTTCTTCCGTTTGGGTTTATTCGAGATTTGGAAGAATTACAACTCCGGACGATGAAATTGAAAATCAGGAAGTATGAAATGTTCTTACAAATATCCGCATATAAGTGAAACAAGAATGAATAATAGCAAAATCATACATTGCGTGAACCCTGAATCAATCAAATTTTACTAGAAATCACAAAAAATAATTAATATGCTGAACATATAGAAACTTGAATCGCATCGAAGTAAGCAAAGGAAAACACGTATAATTAGTCGGGATAATAAATCAGTTATGACTTCGTATTAAACATCGGTAAGGTACATAGAAGTTTGGTCATCGTACTAGGGATACAGGCCCTGAACATCAAACAATCAACTGCATACTATAATAACAAATGGGGCCAAAACGAACATTGCCTCCAAATAAATCGAAAAAATCACACAAAAGTTGTGTGTGTTCGGATTCGAGCTAGCGATTGTAAAGTAACAAACTAAAAAACGAATAACAAAAATTTATAAAGGCAACAAAATACACTACGGGATAAAAGGAAAAAGGAATGATTGCGAAAAAAAAAACAGAGAACAAATATGAACGAGAGCTGCGAGAGGTAGATTTGGCCACAGTAATTTTCTCTACTGTGTTCATCTCAGAGTGACAAGTGATTATGATGATTTGCGAACAACCAGTGTTTTACGCAGAAAGACTTGCTATTTAATTGATCCTTCGACAGACAACGAATCAAATCCAGCCAACTACTGAAAGATTAAAGGTCTGATTCAAAGTATAAACTTCCAAGATTAAATGGCCCGATTCAAAGTATTAACTGCTGCCGGAACCTTGAGTAGGATTCTTAGAAAATAATTTGAATTAATAGAAGAAGAACTTAAGTAGTGCAAGGTCTATCGATATGAACTTGATAATATCATTATTATAACTTTTATTACTTGTAGAAAGATCAAGATATTTTTTAAAGCAGGATAACAAAAACATAATATATCAGTAAACATAAGTATGAAAATAACCTGAGAAGTTTCGCGTATTCGTAGAACAAATTCTCTCAATAAAAACAATGTAAACAACAGATACAGTAATTCAAGTTTTCCACTAGACAATACCAATAACATTGCAATTACTGTACAGCGATTCGCGTACACGAGGCGAAAAAATTAGTGTATAAAATAATACTTGGAGAATCTCTAAAATAAACAGCTTAGAATACTCCTGTGAAGAAGAATATTAAATTAAAATTATTTAAAATGTCTCAGAAATATCAGGATATTTCTGCGACATTTGTGATCCGCAGAGCTAGATTCGATCAACTACTGATGAGCCGAATTTTCCGATCTTACCAATTTCCCTGCCACTTGCATCTAAGATGAAGGCACATTTCAAAAATATCTCGTGTAAAATACATTTACAAGTAGTAAGAAAAATTCAATGCCTAGAGTTCTGTTCAGTAGGAAATCTTTCTTGGTACTTCAGTAATTTACCTACGTCTACTGATAGTAATTAATTACTAGACCTTTGGCTGACGACGAATAACGCATTCAAATAACGTTCATGACGATTAAAGCATCCGTAGACTAAGAGTTAAATACTCATTACTCATCATATACGCCTGAAGCAATGTCTTAAGGGGTTAGCACGCATACGCAAGTAATGTAGTTGCAGCAATAGCATTTAAGAAAAACTTAGATGAGGTAACAAGAACAGCAATGAAGACTATAATATAAGAGGTCGCTGACAAGTTATGATGCCAGACACAGAGTAAAAGAAGTGCATGGAATTAGGCTTACATAACAACTTCGTCATACAACAGGGGCCCGCAATAAGACACAGTAGCTGCCCAGAGGCCCGCTTAGCTAAAGCTTAAGTCGATGCTCTCCTCCAAAATGAGAAACCTAGAACAACAAAGATAAACTCACTAATATGATAAGTTAAACGATTCACTCCCATATTCTTAACATGTCTTGGATGACATCATGTCATTCGAGTATAAGAACTATATTGCAATTCTAAACCTAAATGGTAAAACCAACCGCGGTTGAAACACAATGCACAAATCGATCGATGCATGAGAAACGCTGGAGTACAAAGTATAAAGAAGCAAGGCTCTCTACTAAAAAATTTCTCCAATTCATCAGAAAATTGACTTGAGATACATAAAGAAGTGAATCAATGGTTCCGGTCATAACTCGCTGTTGACCAGTAGCTGAGTTCGCTGAAATTACAAAAAAAATGAAGCGAATATTACAGTATTACAATATATCAGTACAGTAAAAAGTATTTCTGAATAACAGAAATACTTTATACTGAATTTCGAGGACCAAGTGAATTACTTGTGAAAGTTTCCTAAACAAGTTAGTTTAGTTGCCACAAGTTAACTAGTGCTTCAGCTATTTAGCCATGTCGCATTGAAAGTCAAGATGAACATGATGGACGAGGAGGAAGGTCTCGATTATTGAAAGTTTCTTAAATCCAAAAATCGTTCATCACCCACAAGGGGCGGAAGGTCTCAGATATCCAGCCCGCTGAAGCTGGCTCGAAAGAAGCAGCGTTATCATCTCAAAGAGACGAAGTGACAAGGAGGGACAGGTGACAAGGAGGGACAAGTGACAAGGATGAACAGGTGACAAGGAGGGACAGGTGACAAGGAGGGACAGGTGACAAGGAGGGACAGGTGACAAGGAGGGACAGGTGACAAGGAGGAATAGGTGACAAGCAACAGAAACTAAGACACTCGAACAAGAGGTCGCTTACACGGGACGTCGGCCACCCGCACGAGAGAGACAGTAAAGAGAAATGCAAGGAATTCTAGGACTTCGCGACACAGACGGGCATCAGAAGTCCCCCGGAGGGGGTTTGCTAGATAAGACCTGTTATTAGTGCATGGCTGGTGGTTATAAAAAGTTATTCTGTTTCTATAAATGTAGAAATTTGCAAGCTCATAGAATCTGCTGAAAAATTATTATAACGTTTTCTTAAGGAAAACAGTTCGTAAATCAGACCTGGCAAGATACTGATTCTGGAAATATGATTATTTATTTATTTAGGTGAAAAACTTTTGTTACAGATATTTTATGAAAAAATAAACATAAGCTATAGCTTCCATATGGGCAGGTCACAAGTACTAATAATAAAGCCCAGTTACTCCGCTAAATCTTAAATTATTTAAACAAGTCCTCATCTTGACAAATTATCTTAACAAGAAATATTAGTTACACCAACGTAGCTACATAAATAGGCCATATAGAAACAGAGCTTGAACAGATAACCACAGCTCATCAAGAATAGCACTTTACTACTATGAGCTGTGTTGCACTGTACTACAATACTATTCTAATTATTTGTGCACACAGTAAAAATTTAGTATGAGAAATGGATAAAAGTTATTGGAAGTTTGCAGCAAGGAAATTCACATTCCACTGCCTTGAAACAAATTTAAATTCATTTCGCGACGATTTAGAAGGATCAACACAGAGTCCAGAATTTCAAGGCATTCCTTGATAGAGAATTTCGTTGAAACTATCCACGCAAAAAATTAAAACAAAGGACAGGAAATTCCGCTATAAACAAGACGCAAAAAATATCACATCGTAGAAACATACCATCCGTTAAAATTTCACAGGATCAAATCGAAAAATCGATTCCACTGAACGTAAAGGAAAAAAAATACATTATTGAACAATACCAATAGCGAATTGGGCACTTAAGGCCAGGTAACAGGTCAAGATTTTCTAAAGGATCCGTATTGGACTCGTCAAGAACGCGATTCCCGGTCAAAATAGCCTTATGCAAGACTTGTCTAAACATCTACCATGGCAGCAAAGCAACAAAACAAAATGCTTCAAGTCGACACGTCTCAATGACGTGTGGCATCAGGTTTCGACGTCCCGGCTGAGGATCTCAACGATTTAGCTGCCATACCTAGCACTGTTGTAGGTATAGATCTACCTCTAAGCCTTATTTTGTTTCACGCAGCATAGATTATTTTATGCACAGTTGTTGCTCGCATGAAGTTTCAGTGTCTAAACGTGTTTTTTTTCTGTTATAGCCGGCGCGATGATGAGCACAGTTTAATAGAGACATCGCAAAATAATTGATTGCAAGGCTTATCATTCCTAAAAAAGGTTCAGCTCCACAAAAAATATCAACAGCTTTCCGATGAAAATACTTATAGAAAATGAAAAGAATATAATACAAAATTCGCTGGTATTGAATATCAGAAAAACGAATGATGAAATCAGACAAATGGCAGCATTTAATGGAGCCAAACCACATGAATCAAGGCAACATAGGAGGCGAAATAACCCGTGCTAGGAATTACACTGCAGGCCGTGGGGACAGTGGAGTTGAAACCCCTGCTACACTTCCAGCCGATGGAGTAGGCAAACCCCAACCCTCCGCTATGAGCAGCTCATCAATGTACACGTCAGTTGAATCGTATGTTGACGTGTCCACGAGCTTCAACATGAGCCGAGGCATGGCAGACGTCTCGGCCATGTTGCCAGGATCATTGATGGTTAAGCCTCGATCCAACGAGATTCCCATGACGAATGAAACAAATTCCTTGCCCTGCACCAAGTCCCGGAAGCGGCACGCATCTTCTGGGATCCAATCTCGACTTTTGGGACGCACACCTGAACACCGTGATAATATTTAAGCCAAAATAGTGTTCTCTTCAAATCTAATTCACAACAACAAATTATTTACCAGAACAAACTTGTTTTCAAACAAGTTTCTGTGATATTTCACAATGGCTCCTATCAGCATAAAAAAATGTAAGTTACAACGTAAATTTTCCAATTAATCTGCACTATATGTCAATTTAAATGCAAGTATACAAAGCAAGCTTTAAAAGTAAGCTAATGGAGGACCTAATTTGGATTGGCAAAGTAGCTGATATTCAAATGAACGTATTTGCAGAAAAAAAGACTAGTGACTGACCATACAAACTGGCCCTGATGCTTTGCCATGGCATTTTGGCAAACGATGGTAAGAGTTTTCGAACGCAGTTGCTTGGTAACACAAAGCAGTCACCAAAGTCAACGAAGACGCCACACAGCAGCTCCGAGTCACGCATCACGCTGTTTACGCACACTCTGCAAATGTGTAAAGTGTTAGTCGTCGTCACGTGAAAGTCAAGTTACCCCCTTTTGAAAGAATTACCTTGAATTATGCTTTGCAAGGGAACATCAAGCAGTAGGGCCTCCTAAAATGTACATACGGTATTTTAAACGTTTTGTTGCACTGCTGTGCGTATGCGACGTCTTCTTATTGTACAGAAATGCATATGCATGTCTCATAATTATTTACAATTTTTTATCGTCGTTGGAAACAAATTCTTGTTGATGGCGAAGTTGAGGCTATTCATTTATTTCCATGTTCACAAAATTTTTTCAAAAATAAAATTATTGGGCTGATTTTCAAAAGTCGAGAATATCTTTGACCGATTCATGAGCAATGAAGCAAATATTTGCTTTTGTGTACGATAATCTCGAGCAAATAGGAATGCAAAAATTCAAAAATACAAAGAGATACGCAAGATCATAACTGGTGATATCGTGATTAGGAGACATACGTAATAGGTGTGCAACATTCGGTGATCGGGATCATCAAATGTTGCACACCTCACCTGTCTCTGCAGACACATTAAGAACTAACCTGTACCAGTAGGAATCAGTGTGTAGAGCGGCATAGTAGCCCCCGACAACGACCTCATCTACTCCAACTTTGCCCTGATCGTCGTGTGTGGTGTAATGCTGTTGCATTTCACGACGCAGTTTCTCTAGCTCATTGTACTCCTTGACCGAATGCACCTGTAGGGGTCAAACTCTCAACTTCATCTGAACAGTTCTTTGACTGACTATACCTGTAGGATACAAACTCTCATTTTTGGGTAGGCAACTGTTCGACTGAAACAAGTGGTGTGCAATATGTAATGGTACAAATGATAGAAAATTAAGAAATAAAATTTGAAATCGTATTAATAGGAAGCTGACAGCAAATCGAGTGGTACACAAACTAAGCTAACAACACATTATAGCAGGAGGTAAAAGTAATATAATTTACAGCAAAGTTTGAGGGATTGGCAGCGAAGGTGACGTGCACGTCAAAAGTTTCCCCCACGCTGGGTAGGCAAGGTGGCGCTATCTTGGGGGTGGGGGGCTGAGTCTTCCCTACAGCACCTGTAATGCAAAGTTATTTCAAAAATTAATTTAAGCTATAATTAATAAATAATGTGATATAATAATTTACTAACAAATATGAGCCTAAATTATTTTCCCAAAAATACACCACTGTAGATAGGGAAAATTTGTATTCATAATTTAAGAAGGCTAAAAACAAATAATCATAGCTCTACTAACTATGAAATGCAAAAGTCAACATAATTAATAGAACCGTCAATAATTCAAGCCGTAGTTATTACCATGAGATGAATTTAAAATCTGCTTAGCAAGTTATCTCAATTGCCTACCTCTAGCAGACATGAGTGAGCTGAGGGAGGTTGAGGACGCAGCACTCTCCAACACGCTGCTGCTGTTCATGCCTCCTTCACTGCCTTGGCTCTCGTTGTTGTTTTCTTCATAGTTGCTGCTCAGCATCAAAAACATCAATTTGATCATAGGTAAAAATTTTCCCAGTTTTTTCGCTCAACAAACAAAGTCAAATCTGTATGGAGAAAGCACTGGAAGTTATTGGCTCGACAGAGATTGTAGGTTTTGATTAACTGGTATCACTATCACAATTTATGAAATAAGCATTTCTTTACAAGCCATTTACTATCATTGTCTTAAAGGCCAAAGTTCATCACTCCTACCTTCTCCAAACCATATCAATATGCTTTACCATGAATTGATGGTTTAATTCTCCTCCTTACATACACTAACCTTGAACACTGTTTCTTTTGACGTGATTAGAGAGGAAGAGTTACCAATGAAAGTAATTTCAATTTCATGCGACAAATGAGTTATAAAGAAGACTCACGAGAAGAGTTGAGAGTCTATGGCTAGCGTCTCATTGATGGAGATGAGCTCGTTCTGTGGCAGGAGGCGCTTAAACAACAGCACCTCTGGCACTCCAGTCACTGGGTCAACCCTCACAGTCTGCAAATCAAATAGAAAATAAAATGTGATCCTCAGATATAACATTAACGTTTAATTTCTGGTATTGAGTGTTCTCCGGTAAGTTCAGAATAAAATAGGGCAATCTGAGGGATATGGAAATAAATGAAAATTATACGGTGTTTTGACACACAAGAGTTTATGTGTCCTCTATCAAGACGATACAAATGGGCGAATTTTTTTGTGAAATAATAGTTCCTAGTAGTTTTAAAATGATGGTTGAAGATGTAGGCAATATTGTACCTATACCATGCATCAAGGTACATTTCATGTATCGAGGTAAGCACCTTGAGGAGTACGGGGCTGGAGGTGGGCTGTAGCTCCTTCAGACGAGCCGATGCTCTCTGGGTCCAGCGTAAGCCAGGCGGTGGCAAGTTGGCCAGAGTGCACTCCATGGCCTGCACAAACACATGGATGCTCTCAAATTTGTCAGTCAAACTCTATCTAAATCTATAAGCAAAAAAATTGCACTAACACGAACTTGTTGCTGGCAAGTTTGCAGTTGAACTACAGCATATTGTATAAACTAAACGATGCGCCGCACTAAGACGTGAACTCAAGTAGCGAGTCTGAAAAAGGTCAACTCATGAAGCTCTTCTGTCCCTACACCGGAACCCTATCAACAACAGGTTTATTATCACTTGTTTCTAAATCGTCAACCTGAGACCTCCTCTGTATTAATAAACCTACTAAGAATCGGATGAGATGGAATATTCTATCACTATAGAATATACAGGGTGAACCAGAATTAACTGACCCTTTTAATTTGTTAATAAATAAAAAACTAAGAACGTTATGAAGTTGAAACTTGTTTTATTTAAAAGAAGAACATTTTTATGGTAATATTGTATCCTAGTTAAAATACTGTATCCTATTACAATATTTTATTATTGTATTAGTTAAAATATTTATTATGTATAAATAATATATATTAGTTAAAATATTGTATGTAATATTGTATCCTAGTTAGTTATTGTATCCTAAAAACTTGGATACAATATTACCATAAAAATGTTCTTCTTTTAAATAAAACAAGTTTCAACTTCATAACGTTCTTAGTTTTTTATTTATTAACAAATTAAAAGGGTCAGTTAATTCTGGTTCACCCTGTAGAATGGAGAAAAACGGACTTTAAAATTCTCCTGGGGCGCGTACAAGTGAACCAAACTAAGTTGACCTGACTATCCCGATACCTGCGGGCTAGAACTGACCTGAGGAGGCAGGACGTGGAGCAAAGGCGAGACGCGCGAGAGCAGCACTAGGTGGTGTGAAGCGACCAGCTCACTCACTCCCCAGTCGATACACTGAGCGCTTACTATATCCGTCTATACCAGCGCCCGGGTGTTAGCAGAACAGGTTAGCAACACAGAACAGGTTAGCAACACAAAACAGGTTACAGCAACAAGTGGTTAGACATGAAAACATTGGTTACGTCAATGCACGTGGTAAACTTATGAAATGGATGAATCAACGGTTAGACAATAACAATAAGGAGGAAAAAACGTGTGTTAGGTCGGGCAATTTTTTTTATTAGTTGGGGCAAAAACAATTCTGGTGTAACACCACCTAAAACTAACATTAAAAAAAAAACGAGTTATCACAAAAGCCATGGGAATTTAATAACGAACAAGAAAGATATCATATATTGGAAAATAAAGATCTGGCCTTAGTCAGGAAAAAGATAGAATCACGGAGACCTTAACGCACCCTACTTAATGATCAGGTGACAGGTTAAATTGAACAAAGGATGAGATCAAAACATGGTTATAATAAACAAATGTTATAAAAATAAGACACACGAACTTCTCATCAGCATATCATTTATACAACTCACGGGAAAAAGGAGTTACGGTTAGCACAATTAATGATTAGAATAAAGTCATCATCATAACGCCCCTCAAAACGTGGCATTAAATAATAAGAGAAACAAGTTAGAAACGACAAACCAAAACTAGGAACTCGCTGTGAAACGGGCAAAACGACCACCAGCTGTTTCCTATGATCATTTGCTTCATTAATGGCTATAAACTAGGTATTAAATTATTGGGGTGAGTCAAGTTAGGATTGGATCTAGACTGTAAAAAATCAAACAAAATGACCGGCCTTCACCTGCTCCTTTTTTATTACAGATGAAACTCTCACGCGATGCCAATCTTGGTCATAGGTGAATCGAGCCAAGTAAAGTTTAGTGAGGTCCACGTCTGAATCTCCTGACAGCTCCTCAGCACGTTCTGCTCAGCAAGAAAGCAGCATCATCGACCAATAAGTAAAGGTGCAATCTTAACGAACTTGACCTCTTAGCTTCAATTTATGGCGGTAATCCATTACAAGATTGCCCTACGCAAAATCAAAAAATTTATGCAAAATGTAAAAAATTCAACTAATCTAACACGTAACTATAACTAAGAAATTGTAGCCAAGTCGTGTAACACAGTGCTCATTATAACAGAAGTGTGAAATAAAGCAATTGACCGTGAGATCATTGTTGATAAAACATTGATGCACAAAGCCATATCTATGACGAAAATAAATAAAACTGTCATGCTAAGTATACATGCTTTTAAAAGAGAACATGCTTCTCTATCCTCAGTCCTACAATTGCAATCAGTTCTCACAAGGCTGAAGACATTTGAAAGAATTTGCCAAGTTGAAATTAAAACTCTATCAAAAATTAAGAAGCAATGTCACGGTAAACAAACCTATTAACTAATGCAGGCAGTTAAGAAGAACATAGGCGTTGTTCAAACAGCGTTTTATTAAAAAATTGACAGAGATTCAAATATCCTAGAATGTACCAGAGGTCCAAGCTACATTCTTGAAATTAATATTGAAGCTGATGATGAAGTTGAAAAAAACACCAACACTTTCAGTGAAATTTGTTTTAATTTTCTCAACATTTTCTACAATATTAAATTGATAGTTAATTTGCGATTTGACCAATAAAATTCATTTATTCCTTGAATTCAAAAGAATGGCCGTGATCACGGTAAATTTAGTACTTATTTAGAAAAATTCAATGATTTAAATCATGCTTTCTGTTAAAAGTTAGGTAATTGATCTTGAAAGTTTTTGAGAACAAAATTTAATGAAAATTACTGAAACAAAAACTGACTACCATCCTGCCGACAAACTGGTAAAATTATCTACTGATAAAATAAGGTTTTAAATGTCATAACGAACCATGCAAATGTTTCACGAATGCATAGAAGTTACCCGACAATTCAAGAGGTAGTTATGGGAAACTTCTGGTTTGAAGATAAAAGTTTACGGGAATTCGTAACCGTACAGAAAGTGGTATGTTAGGACATAATGATTGACTTAAATGCCTTATATGCATTGACATAATATGCAATCAATCGTAACTGAGTTAATCGCTCGTTCATTAAGACTGTTTAGATGATCATTAACCTGAATGACCTAGGGTAATTGCGTTAAGTTAAGGAATAGTGCACGTATGTGGGGGGCAAATATTCTCGCCCGAGGCTACTCGTGACAAGAACAAACCTCAACGTGTGTGATGACAATCATTTCAATGTGAAATAAGGAGGAGTTAGACTCATGCACGGTATAGGAACACTGATTAAGGTTAACTTACTTATTACCAGAGAGCTCCAAGCCTTGGGAGGAATAAGAGGGATAGAAACAACAGTACGTAAACAATGAAAATTTGTATCCGTAATCGTTACCTGATACTTTGTCCATAGATTGGTATTAATTTTTGTCTAGCCTGAGTAATGGAAAATTTAAAATATATACATATTTATACACTTACCTCAAATATTGATTTATTGAAATGAATAATCGAGGTATTTCCAATCAAGACTGCTTTAATAATTAATGCTTTCAAATTAGTCGATTTAAACACTGAAACGCTTTAAATTTCCTTTATTATATAGATTCCTTGAACACCTAATTATTTTGGCAATTAATTTTTTAATATTCTTGCCCTATGCACCTGAACTATAAACAAATTTCTACCTTTACAACTTTCAATGAACTCCATCTACTATTCAACTACAAAATCCAACAGTCGGCAGAGTGAATATGGGACGTTACGATATCATTAAAAAAAAAAAAAGGTTTTCACGTTGCAAAAATTTAAGTTGGATGTATTACAATTTCTTAGCCATCTATAGGAGCTATTTAGATAAAATCACGAACACATAACTTGGCCAACTTTGCTGTCTCACCTCTTGCAACAGCGAGCATGCGCTCCAGCAAGCTGTACGTCTCGGACTCAACCGTTACAAAGACGCGCCCATCGTCGCACACGTTCGTTACGAAAGCTTCAGCAATGCCTCCAACCTGACAAATGCTCAATATTAATACTCTTATCAATAATAGCATCAGAAAAACAAATATAGAATAATATAATAAAAATTTAAAAATTGTGAAATTGTGAAAAAAAAATTGTGAAGGTCGAATTTTAATATATCTCCACGCAGAGCAAGAATTTGTTGTGTTTCGTCTTTTTAACTGCTAGACCAAACGTCAATATTGTTCACAATACAAAACTATTTATATTCAATAGAATAGGTACTTCTTCAAATCAAACAAAACTTGAATCTGCAAATTATAAATAGTATAATAATAATTATCTCAGTTATATTCAAATTCAAGTCTAATATAAAAAACGAATCTGATCTACAAATTCAGGAGTGGGAAGAAAACACACCTGAGGCAGCTGGGGTTTAGTGAAACTTTCAGGCACAATTTGCAGGAGCTGTTCGTTGATGTTGACCTTCTCTGACGATGAAGTGTTGTAGAGCACAACCTGCAACAATAACAATTTATTCCCAGAACTTTGCCACGATTTTAAATTTGATTGACTTAAATATTATAAAATCTTGACAAATAACGTGCTTTGCACTTGAGATCACCGCCACGGTGTACTTAACCATTCATATTTACACAACAAATCCATTTTGCAGTTGGATAATTAGCGTTGGTGATAAAACCACATTTAAATCTTCTATGGAATCACCGGTGTCAAAAAAATTTTTTTTGGACGAAATAAAGCTAAAGTCATTAGGGAATCACAATTAGCTTCAGAATCATGAGAACTACTGAGAGATGAGTAGTACCTATCTCTCTATTTTTTTGAAAATTTTGGCAACACTGAATGTCTGGCCGAAGTAAAGTTTGAATCATGAATGAATGAGAATCAGCAGAACTACTGAGACGGACAAGGACCTGGACGGTAGGAGTTCTGGCGACGACAGTGGCGCTGAATGTCTGGCCGAGGACGACAGTGTGTAGGGCGGTCGTCAGAGGCGCGCACCGCACGCCCTCCAGCTCACTTAGAGTTGCCGTCACGCACTGCGCATGAATACTCAACGAAATTAGTGCACATGAATAATATCATTTTAAAATCTTCTCCACATTTATACTCATCATTCTTCAATATCTATTTCTACTGTTGAAGTAGAAAGGAGACTCGAAACGTATATTCAAATTAATGCTGCGTTCAGAATGAATATTTGCATTAAAGATCAGGAAAATATTTATTCAAGAATAGCTTCTTTCAATTCAGAATAATGAATGCCATTGTCGCTGAACCCAACAATAGATTCATTTCAGAGAAGAAATAATTCCAGTGTAAAGACAAGGAATTTAAAAGCAAAGGAAACGCCATGCAAATTTATCATATCGATATTGAAAACGTAAAGACAATGCCTTGAACTCATAATTAATTTCCAATGGCATGATTGCAGGCACGTGAGGAAACAAGTATTGCCACATACTATAATGGGATGATCCTAATGATATTGTCTGTAGATACTGAGAGATAACTTGTTAAGCTGGTATCCATCACCTGACACGGTAATTCAAGGAACTCCGGCGAGATCTCATAAATGTTCTCTATTGCCACCTCTTCGGTGTCGCCGTGGTCCACCAACAGCGCAGAAACTGTAGTTTCTGCACAAAATAACATCATTAATCTCTGCTGTATCTATTCCACATTCTCTACGGCTACGATAAGCAAGGGCTCATATTTGCATTTTAATTGCTGAAAAGACATTTTTCTCATAGCTTAAAACTCCATAAATTCAATACCAACTGCACTATCAATATTTTTCGGTAATTTCAGTTCGTCTTTTTAACACGTTTTTCTTAGCTTAGCTTCGCGTTTGTGTGTTGTTAACATTGATAACGAAAATTAGCCCACTTCTGATTGCTCTAGAGATCTGAAATTCGGCATGCAGGCTATTTTCGCCTAACAATTTCAGATACAATCATAAAAACTAGCAATTAGAGACCGAAATTAGTTTAATTGAGTAAAGTATATATATAGTATATATATAGTATGACGTGCGGGCGCTGACGTTATAGACGAGCAGGCACTGACGCTGCGTATCATCGATACGTACGTCAAGTCATACTTAATCAAAGTCTTAATCGTCTTTCTTGTGGACTAAAAAGTAGAAAATAAATTATTGTTCGCCCCAAAAAAAACGTGGGTCGGGCTGTACGTTCACCATCAAGTGTTCAAAATTCGTGTGTTGTGTGCTTATCGCTTTAATCATAAATCTACCCGACACACGTTTTTGGGGGGGAGCCATAATTTATTTTCTACTTTTTAGTCCACAAGAAAAACGTGGTTTTTTAAAAAGATTTTTTAAATATTTTATTTGACGTTCTTTCAAAATCCAGAACACTGATGACCCGAAATTACTACTTGGAGCACGAGGAGTTGCAGCTAATATATTCCAGGGCAATACTGATACTAAATATGTTAGTATATTTAAATATCTTCCATAATGAAGCAACTCGCAAACCAGATACACGCCAAAGCTTATCCTAACTTTTGTTATTATTCCTCCTTGATTATAATGCTTTTAAATGGGCTTTCTGGTCATGGAATGTGGTTTATATCTTCCTGATGTCGATTATTTCTTTTAACATCATAAAACTTACAACGCTGGAAATAGTGCAGAATATACAACAAATGTTTTCTTTGTTGCAAAAATTTTTGCAACCCCACATGCAACTCACAAGATAATAATGAACATACGATCCTACTGAGAAATTTAACATTAATAATAATACTAAGTCGAATTTAATGCAAGGAAAGTGGACAGACAAAGAAAGATGAGCAATAAGGGAATGACAGCCAGAATTGAAAGAGAATAGGGAATGAAATTAAAGAGTCAACCCACCCGTGACCCCCACAACGAGAACCCGGAACCACGTCTCGTGGTGGCACAGGACATAGTAATGGCCGAGCTCAACGCTGGTCGGTGCTGTGCAGTGGATCTTGTCGAAGTAATGTAGCTCCATCTTGGTAACAAGCTCCTCGTACTCACACTGTAAGAAGAGAAATTTTTACTCTAAAAATATAGCCAAGAGGATAAGAAACATGATTTTCAGCTTTTTCTGGTTCTAGATTAACATTGTCAAAGAAGTTGAAATACCAAGGATATATTTAACATGAAACTCAGGATTTTCATTCAAGTCAGTGATAATTTATTTAGCAATAGATAGATTTAGACTTACGTTGTAAGCGTCACCGATTAAGCGGAAACAAATCCTGCAGTCGTCGAGAATGTGGGAGACGTAAACCTGCCATGTGTCTTCATCCGGCAAATGCATCACAGGAGGATGGTGAGTGCTTCTAGTCAAGGCTGGAGGCGTGCTGCTCTCGCTGCCATGGCTGTGATTTGAGTCTCCTTCATCCTCGACAGCAGTAATTGAAGTTTTAGGTGATGTGTTAAACAGTTGTCTTGATTTTCCGACATCAGAATCCGAATTTACAACAAGGTTCTTTTTCAGAGAGAGCGTTTCCAATTTGGTTAGGGTCTTAGCAGCCATTTCATTGGAGACTTTAGATACTCTTTCTGAAGAGTTTGAGGAACAGCGCATATCAATATGGGACTTAGGGGAAGCCTCTAGAGATAATTGATGCTCTGACAGATTCAAGTGTGGTTTGATCCGAATCTCAGAAGCAGTTTGAGGACAGGAAGATATGGCAACTGCAGCTTTTGCTGGATGCACAGGCATAGTGACGGCTCTAACGAGAGATGGTCTATTGGTATGTTGTTTTTGCTGCTGCTGATGATTCAGACTAGACTCCTGAGCTTGGTGCTTTTGTCCCGATTGTAGAGGTGACAGTGGTTGAGAAATGTTTGGTAGACTAGAAGGTTGTCGTGTGTCAGTCTGTGAATGCTGCTGCATCGATAGGAAGGGTAGCGAGTGATGAGCCAATGAATTTGTTGCAGCCGCTCTTTCCAGGTTAGCATCCTAAGCAAGGCAAGAATATTTAACAGGAGACAATATAGATCTTAATTCATACAAAATGATCGGATTTTACAAAACATACATTTTATGACAAGATTAATTTATGATATCTTTAGGCTATTCATGTCAGAGTAGTATACTACAGATAAAGATTAAGGCGACGGTTTCTGAGGTCTTATTAAAACTTCACTCAAAAACAGGCCGCCTGCATTGATATTCGATCATAAAATCTCACATTTTTCTTGTAGAGCACCCAAAGCTTTTGATGTTGGGTGAAAGCTAGGCCTGTATTAGCGAACTGCTGCTCACGTTCATTAGCCCGTTCACAGAAATCAGGAGGAAGGTTTTCTCCAAACTTCTTGAGGTAAGTCTCGCACAGATGGCTGAACCAGAGGCCGTGTATTTCGCCTTGTAAAAGCTGCAAAAAATAGGTTGCATCACAGAAAAGATACGAGGACCCTCTTGCTATAGTTCAGCCTCTCAACACGCCAGCCTGTCTCGATCAAAAATCGAACACCAACCTTGAGATAGAAACATTTTCAATTATCCTTACTGCTATTCTCATCTTCCATTTTAGATGGGGTCATAATCTAGACTCTAATCAAAGTAAAAATGTATTCATTAGAGTATGGGGGTTGATAAGGCATGAACCTCCTTGCAATCAGTTATATCCTAAATTACAGCAATGTTTAGTAACTTATCTCAAATAAAGTCATAGAACTTGTGTGTCCTCTTTTGTGATTAGCAATTGAGCGGCTGATAACAGACCAGTTCTATTCAGTCAGTTAGGATGGGCAATAGAAGCCTTTCCTACAAATGATCTTAAAATAGATTTCATGATATTGTAAACATAATAAGTTCAGAACCAACCGTTTTTACTCTCTCTAGGCAGAGTTCAAAAGAGCCTGTGAGAGGCAGATCCATTAAAAGCTTAATTTCTGCCAAGGCTTTTTGGGCAACAATGGACTTTGCCTCAGCTGCGTTTGCACGCTCTTCTGGATAGCTTGAATAACATTTTCCATTCACCTGATGAAGAAAAAATTACTCAACATAGTTTCAGTAATAATTACTTAAAAATCATTCCAGTAATGAACAATGATACTCGTAAAGCTGCAATTTGGCAGAAATTCTTTCTACAAGGAATCATCCTTAGTAATTGGCTTCTTGTATGCACATACGAGGCATGTTTTTTAAGTCAGTACCGTCTTGAAATTAAAAAAAGACGTGCAAAGAATGCAATAATTTCAGAATGCAATAATTCATAATGCAATAATTTCAGAATGCAGAAGAATGCAATAATTTCATTTTTACACGAAAGCCTATACCTCAATCAATTTTTCTACATAATTTCGGTGAATATTGAGCACTTGTCATAACGTGGCACCTGTTTTTTGAATACCCTCCTGATAAAATTTTGCCACCTGACTTGTTATTTTAATTCCAAAACGGTACTGAATTAAAAAACATGCCTCGTAATAAAACATCCTTTGTGTACAAAAACTAAACTCTCAAGTAAGTGTATATTTTTATATACTAGGAACTCATTAGTTTGGTCACAGTCTAATAATATGGACATGTGTGGTTGCTCTTGTTTCTGCAATTATAAACAAGGCTTGGACAATTCTTATGTGATTACTCAATGTCACGATGAACTGTCGATATTAAAAAAGAATGATTCTTCAGAGCAAAGTATGAAACAAAGTGAATTGAAATCACCAGAACTTGCTTGTTTTACAGCAGAACAGAAGGAACGATTAAATGATTTGGGCAATGATAGAACAAATAAATTCTCTTGACAATTTAAAATTTGCTAGTTCTTGAGGTGTCAAGTTATGTTTAAGAATAGAAGCGAGATGTGAGAAGCAAAAAAACTATGACAAACTGGTCAAATCAAGTCAATAAAAACACCATCTCGCAAAACTGAAGACATCAAAACGTAACTATTTCAGGCTTTCAGCAAATATCATAAAGGTTCTACAAAAATGCCTTGGGAATTGACGAGATTACTTTACTCATGGGCTGAGTCTGTCAGACTTGCTTTTTTCAAAATGCTTGATGAGCTGGTCTGTTATGCTTGTTTTGTCAAATTGCTTGAAATTCTGGACTAAGGTGGGAGAAGATCAGAGACAAGACATTTGGGACTGTATTGGGTGGAATCTGGAACTTGGCTGAATGACAAAGACTTGCCAGCCAATGATAAACACTACAGTTCTACTTTAATTTGAGAATAATACGTAAACACATAAGGTCTAGTTATTAAAAAAAGGTGAATAGTTATTATTATAGTAAGGCAGACCTCACCTTGAGAGTAGCTATCCATTTCTTGTTCATTGGCAGCAGAGTGTACTCAGGGTTAGAGTAGCCCAGTTTCTTTGCAAGGACCTCAAGTTCCTCTTGGGTATTGCCACCAGCCCTTTTCTTGTCTTGCAGGATTGACTTTTAAAGGAGAAAGAAAATAAATTAATTTAAATAAGATACCTAATTCAAATACTTCATAACATGCTTACCGGTATATCTAATAGAAACTAACAATTTTCAACTCTTTCAAAGTAGGCTTGAAAATTTGAGAATCCCAACAAATACAGCCATCAGCTTCAGCAACGAATTTGCTTGGAGTTCTAAATTTAACTTCATCAAAAAATATCTGAAATGCTATGATAGGCAATGATCAAATTATATAATGATGAAAGATTCACTTCTAACACACTTATTATGATTCACAGTGACGAGCTTAGTATTTATTTTAGAAACTGTAAGTTATGAATCACACATTCAAGGTTAACTCTATTAAATAATTCTTCATTTATAAAATTCATTTAAATTTTCCTTTCAAATAGTGTACCAAGTAAATCATTTTAATAAAAAATCCTAATAATCTTAGAGTGCAAGAAATCTCAATACCAACTTACATCCGTGGATGTTGAATCATTCAACATTCTTGGGCTAGTAGGGCTTTCAACTTTCTTCTGATAGTTGTGAGCTGGATTTTGGTATGGAGGAGACTTTGGAAGCATGGGTGGTTTAGGGGACTTGACAGGCATTGGCTTGGCTTGTGGACTCGGAGGCAATAATGGCTGAACAAGCTGCAATGGAGATGGTGGTGGTGTTGGTAGTTTTCCAGAAACAGTTGCCATGGAAGCAGAACCTTGAAAAATCAACTGTCGCTGAGGAATTGGTTCACGATGTGGTGGGTTGAGGTTAACATTTTCTGGTCGTATGGTAACATTAGCCATCAGTGATTGAGGATGTGGCCTTAAATGGTGGCCAAAACCTTTGCCTCTAGAGTTACCACGGTAAACTCCTCTTCTAGCTCCTGCTTGTTGAAATGGAAGGTTCTGAATAGGAGCAGTTGGTGGATGTGGAAGAAGAGCTTGACGAGGAAAGGAACGCGGGATAGGTCGCCTCAATGCCGACCCTTTGCTTTTCTTCTGGGAAGAAATTGAAGTTATAGAAATATACAATTCCTTAACTGGAATTTATAATTCTAATTTCTGTTTGCTGGAAACAATGGCAGCATTGAGATAAGTATAAATAAAATGTTTCAGAAAATAAAATTGAAACTAATTCATCAGTAATAAGCATAGAGAGAAAAGAGCATTTTTTCTCCCCTTTTCCACGTTTTTGCCATCATGCAACAAACCACCAGTGAATAAATAATTTGAAAATTGTATTAAAACAGTAAATTTTTTGCAAGATACATTTAGTTCCTACCTTTTTTGAAACTGTTTTTTGTCCTGAAACAAGAGCATGTATGTGGTCCCTAGCAGTTGCAGCCGTTTGTACATACAGCACCCCGGAACGGTTCACCAACTGCACCATCTAATAAAATAAAAGGGAGCTTTAAGGATGCACATTCTTGTGAAAAAAAATTTCCACAGAAAATGTTGAGGAACAAAATCAGTCTAGTTTTGGCCTCACAATGACCTCCCTCCAACATAATATCAAATTAGCAAGCCAAGATAATCAGGAGAACAGCATTAAAGAATTTTTTTAATCAAAATTGACTGTGATGTTGTAAAAAAATTGACAACCATTGCACTCCAAAAAGTAATTCAAGACATGCACTATATGCAACTTGAATAAAACACTATAACAATCAAAACATTGCTAAAATAAGTAAGTAGAAATTGAGTGGCATGGTAATAGTGTTTTGTTAATGTGATAAATTTTAGTAAATAACCTCAGGGGCAGATTGCAGGAAACTGGCCAATGTTGCATGGTGAAGCTGTCGGTATGGGATGGGCTCATCCACCATTTGCTGATAGTCGCCTGGAAATGTAATGATGCCATAAACATAGAATTATTTAAATAAAGCCATTACCATCTTCCCTCAAAAGATTTTTATACCAAAAAGTACAAAGTCAACCAATTTAACAAATAATAATGTAGATAAAAAATCTGTGTATTGATTGCTCATTTTTATAGTGAATGCATTCGGAATCAAGACTTAATTTTTAAAATCATTATACATATACATTCATCACTGAACCCTACTTTTCAATTTTCATACATTGGAAACAAAAATAGAAATGAAATATAGTAGTTTTCACTTCAATTTAGTAAGATGAGTTACAAGGAAGCCCATGAATGGACATTGGCAGAGTTGCAAATTGACTTTCACTTACGCTCCAACTCCTTGATGGTGAGGTTGCCCTGAGCAGAATTAAGCAGCGACCTGACGAGCTGAAGCACGTTTTGTCTTTTTTCTTCCAGTTCTTTTGAAAGCGTAGGAAATGTATTGGAAAGGTTTTCATTTTGTGTTAGTTTTGAATTTTGACAATTCTGAATGGACATCTAAAAAAAATTCTTCTGAAAATAAAACTGAATTGAGAAGGGGATCATAGTGTTATATGATGTTTCCCATAGGCAAGAGGTTCTGTGATCCCCTTGCCCTGGTGAGGAAGATATCTATAAATATATATAGGTACATAAAAATTTCAAGCTGTTTATATGGCTGTCTCCATTTTGGAACACAAGATTTCCATTAGCTATATAACCTCCTATCTAATTGTTAACAGAAGCACATGGTCAGGCCAACAGATTTTAAAAGAATAATGAAATTTAATAACTCAGGTCACAAGTTTACAGTAATAGAAAAATTTCAATCCTGCTCTTCAGGATTGGAATAATCCACCTTTTCTCTAAAATATTGTGGTTTCTAAGCCATGCCTGTTTTAATTCAATTGGAAATCTTAGTTGCAAAGTCATGAATGTTGGTTCAATTGGAAATCTTGCGGTTCTAAAGTCATGTATTTTGGTTTGATCAAAAATTGCACAACTCACAAATATGCCATTAAAACAAAATTTGTAATTCTAAAATTTAGTTCTGCTCTCTCCCTAAAAAGCAAAAACTTCTGTGCAGCGTGCAGTAGGGTGTAAAATGTGTACAAAATGTTTTAGTTAATGTTCTCATAGTAGCAGTCAAGCTGCCAGCCTAAAATTATAACATGCTAAATTGTCTGACATGCTAAATTATCAGATGGAATGCAAAAGGTTTTTGTTGCAATTTCTAGGGTAAAATTAGAAATAGGACACAAAACTTGTTATGGCTTAAATATGAACTTCTACGGGTGAGAAAATATACATCAACAGGTCAAAACATGGATTTACTGCTGCAAATTTAAGAAAAAAAAAAGAACTCAGAAAGAGAATCACAGCCCTAAGAGAACATTTCTTCTACACTAGCTGGAAGCTGCCCTGGCATAATTCATTTTGTAAAAATTGAGAAGAAAGCCACATTTTACTTGAATTTTTTACAAATTTCAGATGAAAAAGTGGTTTTTACCTTGGAAATTTGGCCCAATATTTAACATTGGAGAGAATGATGGTTTGATGGAATAGATGGAAGTTGGAACTGATGACAGTTGTCAAGTCACATTGTCAAATATATGGGTATACCATAGCATCATAGCAGCACAGTGGCATTCCATATTAAATCTACAAGAACATGAGCTTCTGAGAAAATGGAGCACTCTGTCATAATCTAGAGTGCCACATGTCACTGCATCTTCACCCACAATTCCAATCAAGCACCAACTGCCGCAGAATCCAGTTGAGACAACAGACATGGCATCATGCCCAGCGCTAATTGGTCAAAGTCTGTCCAATGATAATTAATCCAGTACTACCAACACTTCTGTAATAGACCCAGGCATGAAATAAAAGATAATAGTGTTCTGTGCTGCTCCTAAAGATCTATGGCTTGTCCAAACCAAAGGATTTTCAATGAATTTCCTAAGGACTTAATTCATAAAAAATACTAACTATGTTTAGAGCATTTTTTGTTAATAACTTCTTACCATGAAACATTTCATAATCAAGCTTAAGCTCATTTTAAGGCTCTTAGCAAGGGCTATCGTATGGCGTCTCTGAAAAAATCCCATATGCTATTCATAAGGTTCCAGGCGTAAAATAAAAGCATCCCAAACTACCCCTGGGAACAGGGTAATCTGGGACACTTGAAATAAAACTCAATTTCAATACATTTGAAGCATGCTAAGTGTACGCATGACTCATCCATTACAAACAGTACTCTGAAGTTTTTCCTCTTCCTTTTTAGGTGATGTAGATGTAGAATAAATGACATTTACTGAGATTTTTACTTGCTTTCAGGCTGCACTGGTGCATACTAGTATTCCGTCAAACGATGTAAAAAGGGACGGGCGGGGTAAATAGGGACGAACGTCCCACATTTCGTAGAAATGTTGTAGCAGCTAAACTAATCAAAATATTGCAAAACTAAAAATAGTGGCATAAACTTCAACATTTTTACTATCTAATATGTATGAAGCTAGTCAAGAAATCAAACATTTGCTATCTCTAAAAAATTGCTGAAAAAAAGTGTGAAAAGTGCGATTTTGGAAAAGTACCTCTGCTAAGATCTGGAGCAAAAAAAATATTCGCCGTAGTGAAAAATTTTACTTACATAAAAGTTGCACCCAGGTGTCGGCTTGAAAATGTAATTGACAGAATTTGACTATCTCATTAAAAAAAAAATGGCAGCCATTTCCGCGCGATGGGGTAAAAAGGGACACCCCCTCGGGGTAATTAGGGACACCCTTAAAAATGCATTTACAGTAGAACCTCAGTCAGCAAAGGCTCCAGTTAACAAAAAAATTCATTAACAACAAAGAATTTTTATTACATTTACCTCACTGGGCAAAAAAAATTCACTTATTGAAAAATTAGTGTATCATCGGTCATCACAAAATTGTACATAGAATGCTATATATAGAATTGTGCACCAGGCATCATAGAATGAAAAGTAATTGACCTAAACTAAGATTTATTTCTTCAAAACATATGATGGTTGTCTCTAAAACATTATTTTCTGTTTCAGGTATGTTTTTCATGATCTTTTTGGTTATAGTGAAATCATTAGACTCGATTAAAATTGTGCAAAATTACAAACCATCCTGTAAGCTTACAGATACAGAAGAAATGCAACATGGCTGCTGATATGAAGCTTGCAGTGGACAAGGTTGTTGTCAATGCTCAATGCCATGTCCATGGATACAGTAATATCACATTAATAATATGGTAATTAATGAATATGGAAATATCATATCAGTAAAGGAAAAACAAGTAAAAATCACAGAAAATGTCATTTATTTTACATCTACATCATCTACAATGAAAGAGGAGGACTTCAGAATACTATTAGTAATAGATGAGTACACTCTGCATGCTTCAAAGGTTTGAAATTGAGTTTTATTTCAAGTGTCCCTTTTTACCCCATTTCAAGATTAATTCAGGAGCCTTTTATATACCTTACAAATAGCATGTGGAATTTTTTTGAAGATGCCATTCGATAGCCCTCGCAAAGAGCTATAAAATGAGCCTAAACTTGTTTCTGAAATGTTTCATGGTAAGAAGTTATTAACAAAAAATGCTCAAAACCGTTCCTTTTTACCCTGTTTGACAGTTTATAAAAAAATTCATGACTTTTCCATGACTCTCCATTCCATCAATATAATTTTCCAAGACTCGTATACGTCAGGTTTGGCATGACTGAAAGACTAACCATTCGTATTCTATCATCACCTACAGTCAGCTTGGTGATTTTCATTTTTTTTAAATAAAAAATAAATAAAAAATGATTTTTTTATTTTGATTTTTTTTAGCTTTTTCATCTTTGTTGAAATGTTACTTTTTATATTGCAATTAGTCCACTAACAACAACAGTATATGGCTGGCTAAAGAGGGCAGTTATTGCCTTTAAAAATGGCCAACAAGCCAAGGTGATGTTTACCACTTTGGGACTTTTGGGTAAACAATTATTGACAAGTCTATTCATTAGCTTTGTAAAGTTTGTATAGAGCAAGGTAATGAGCTAAATATTGACCATTGAACTGGCTTCAATATACAAGAACACCTCAGGAATGCGGATCTTCTAAAAATTGAAGAGTCACATAACAGATAGGTAGCTGATAGCACAGTACACAACACTATCAATAGATCTACTAGTTTTATGTCCTATAAATCTACCAGACTCTACCCTAGTCTAAACACACCAACTAGTACCGTAAAATGGGGTAACTTAGACCGGCGGGGTAACTTAGACCACTTTTCGTTTTTTTAACAAAAACCCCCACAACTCAAAAACTATTTGACATAGAAAAATTTTGTCAATGGGCATTAAAGGCCTAATACTGAGGCTACATAACACAATAGAAAGATTTGAAAAGTTTGCATATCTAATAGGTTAAAAAATTAAAAATGTGACCCAGAAAAAAAGCTATTATTTAAAGCCTGTCAGAGTACCCCCTCCAATTTCTTTATTTTTTGGTTAAATAACTCCAGGTTTTAATGCATTGTAGTAAAACTCTTCTAGTTACATATGCAAATGACAAATTTTAGGAAAGTGTCATAGTTTGCAAATGGGGGGCGCTGCCCCCAAATGGGGTAACTTAGACCACCTAATGTCAGCCCTGATGGGGTAACATAGACCGGCTTGGAAGTTAATATAAAATTACCATAAATAACATATTTTATGTTTGACAGCCTATTTATGTTTTTCCTTTATGTTTAAGACTCTACAGAGTCTTATATATGGTAATTTTAACTTAATTTCCAAGACAGTCAATATTACCCCATCAGGGCTGCCATTAGGTAGTCACATTTCCCTCATTATGGGGCAGTGCCTCCCATTTGCAAACTATGACACTTTCCTCAAGTTTTTCATTTGCATATGTAACTAGAAGAGTTCTACTACAATGCACCAAAAACCTGGAGTTATTTGGAGTTATTTTACCCAAAAATATAATTGATTTTACTACCCGGTCTAAGATACCCCAAGAGCTGGGGTAACAAAGACCATCACTTTTTTTGAAATTACATTAAGACTATGAGAGGCAGGAGCCAGCAATTTATGGTGAGTGAAGCTAGAGTATAAACCTGTATTTTGCACATTTCAATTAAAGTTTAATTTAGCTAGTAAAAAAATGGCATCATTTATAAAAAAAGTGGTCTAAGTTACCCCATTTTACGGTACCTAAAAAGAAATTAAAGACTGCCACTCAATATATTTAAACATATAAAAATTAAAAAATAAAAAAAAATTAAAAACTTTTTTGTAAAAAATCTAATGATTTAATCAGTATGATTTAATCATTGCCAGCCCAGGCAACCCTGCCTACAGTTGATAAATAGCAAATGTATAAATGTATAGAGCAGGCAGACACTGAGGAACAAAAATGACATATCTGAAAATTAAGCTCACAGAGGTATATTATAAATTCAATAGTGTCAAATCACAACAAATATTGAGTAATGCACACAAGATTGTACATGATCATGTCAAT